TGGGAGCACTAAGAGGATTTTTCAAGCCCTGAGATTTGAATTTATTTAATACTTTAGTTTAAAATTTAGACTTTACTTCAAGAATTTGTAATTTGCTTACTCTATTCTTATTTCTTTCTGCTAGCTTCCTGAGGTTGTGAATTCAACTCCCTGAAAGTTTCTTAATTCTTGAATCGTCTTTTAAAATGTATTCACAATTTGATTTGCTTCAATAGTACTTTATTCTCACATAAAGACATCCACAGATATATCTGGCTAAGCTTTAGTGAAGAATCAAATCAAATTATGAATTCATTCTAACAGACAAATCAAGAAATAAGAAACTTTCTGGTAGCAGAATTCACAACCTTAGGAAGCTAGCAGAAAGAAATAAGAATATAGTAAACAAATTACAAATTCTTGGAGTAAAGTCAACATTTTAAACTAGACTATTAAATACATTCAAATCTCTGGGCTTAAAAATCTTCTTAGTGTTCCCAGGACCTGAGTCAAATGGGTTAGGATTCAATTACCACTTGGATCAGTAGACTTAAATTTTTTAACAGTTTCAAAAAACAAAACTCTCGCTCCAGTTAATACAGAATTGGAACCCTCACTAGTAGCTGTCTGAAGTTCACAAAGAAGACAGTTTCCACAATTACCATTACCAACAATCCTACAATATTTGACACGAGACCACATATTTAACTATAATTATGTTAGACAAAATAAATAAAAACAGAGCTAAAACAGTAAAAGGAAAACAATTGCATGAAATTGGCAATAAGAATTTGATAAACTTGTCAGGACACCAAAAGATCTATGAAGTTTGAGATGACAAGGGAAAAAAAAAAATGAGAAAATTGAAATAAGAATATATTATGAAACCTTTCTTTATTAATTTTAGATTAAAATTCTAAAAATCGTTTATATCACCATAATAAATAAATAACAATTTTAAAATGACAGAATTATTGGGTGAATCAATTTGGCCATGTTTTTTTAATTATTAAAAAAATTAAAATAAATTGTCAATTTTTCTTCTATGAAAAAGTTTTTTCATGATTTTGGTCCCATACTTAATCTTTCATTATGAAAAAGTTCTCTAATTTTCGTTCATCTCTTTTCATTTCCACCTTTCACTAATTTCTAATATCAAATTAAATATTTATTACTCATCAACCATCAATAATGTTTTATCAGCTTCTTGCTCTATTTTTCACCTGTTGTTCTCTCTTCCCACTATCTTTCTCTAATATTGTTGTAATGCCAACTTTAAAATCATCAGTTAGCTCTTGCCCCTCTAGACTCTAATTAACACCTTATTATACTGCAATGTTCAAAATATGCTTTCAGGCCCATATTTCCAACCTTTTTCCAGCCTTGACATGTCGCTCTCATACCCTTCTTATATTCAACCCAATCTCCTTCACATGTTCAATCCCAGTCAGATAAGCTCTTAAAAGAAAGTGAAAGACAAAATATCCCAATGCTAATCTTTATTTGATCTTAAATTTCAATACCTACTATTTTTCTAAAATTATTATGCTTTATTTAATTCCTCAGCAGTGAAAAAAAAGAATGATGAGGGCACACCAAGGTGTCTCCTGAATGGAAGCCTTTACCCAACTGGAGGTTGATGAACACCTAAACCCAGATGAGAGGACCATATCGAAAGTAAAAGACTAGAGAACAGTAGCATGAGACCGAACAACTTGGTGAAAGCTTAGTGAGGAAGCCAAGTTCCACATCTGGCAACAGCACCAGGGAAATAAACAAATCATTACAAAGCTTTTTAATGTAATCTTTTTTAAATAATGTTTTTGTTCGATGTCAGATTAATATAGAAATCAAAATGATATCATTTAATATAATTTCAAAACACGATGAGAAGGCAGTATGTACAATTTTATAAAATTATTCTATTAAAAATCATTATTTTTATTTAAAATAGACTTAAGGATATATATTGTACGATAATTAATTTTAATTAAAAATAAAATAAAGTGAAACACTTACTGGAGGAATGTCCCCAATTTGAAAATTATAGAAGAAAAACCGGCTTAGCCAAAACATTAACAAAAATCCTAAAAGATACTGAAGAACGAGTCATTGTTTTTTTTTTTAATTTTTGAAGTTGACAAAGTATTATAAAAGAATGTAAATGATATTAAAACGCCAATGACTCTTGAGGGAAGAGGCGTGAACGAGACAGAAAAATAAATTGTTTTTTTTTAATTCAAAATCTGTTGTAAAAATACTTATAACAAAAATAAATGTTAAAATGATGCCATTTACAGCTCTATAGCCTCATACTTATTAAAAAATTAAGTTACTAACAACAACTATATTTATTTTTACATATATTTGAGAAATGCCATTAAAATCCAGGCTCTGTTAATTTCATTTCAAATATATAATAAACTATTTGTCATATTTTGTTTTTACTTTACATGTTTTCTTTGTAGTTAATTATTTTTTTATACAATTATATATACATATACATACACACTCACTTTTAACTTAATTTATATAAACAATTTGTATTAAGACTATATATTGCAAAAAAAAAAAAAGATCACAAGCAGTAGGCACTACCAAATAAATTAATAGTAATACATAACATACAGACCCTTCTTATTATATAAAATACAGACAATATACAAATCATTAGTCAAGAAATCAAGGAAAAATTATTAACAAGTCAGGCAAACTCTTAGCAAATATAAATAAAAACTAAGAAATAGTGATTTCTTAAATGACATTTTCACTTGGGTTGGGTTACTGGAGTATTTTTTTCCTGATTAATTTTAAATTTTAATGCATGCTAACTTAAGCAGAAAAAGGATATTTTATGTTGGAGAAAGGATTTTGTTTTTAAAGTCGGCGCAATAACTAATATGAGGTATTCTTTTCTCTAAGTTATTATTTATTTATTTATTGATGTTTTAAAAATACCACTCATATATTCATTCACTCATTTTAAATTTTCTTTGATTTAGGCATGTCGCATTTCGATTTTTATCTTTCACCAGCACATTGGACTGCTAGTTTTAGGTTTGATCAGGAACAAAGCTTGGACAGAGAATTAAGTAATTTTTTCCCCAAGTTCTTTTCAGTTTTCAGATCCCCCAACTTAAGGTATGGAGAAGGCAATGACAGTATTTTGCACAGTGCAAAATAATTAATAATTTTTATTGAGTCATAATTTTAACACATTACAAGCGAAATTAATCAACTGATAATGAATGATTTGTAACTTAAAGTAAAAAAAAGTACTTAGTAAAGAGATAGATAATAGCAAAGAAATATATAAACATATCAGAGAAAGAAAACTTTAGGTATAAGGTGAAATTATATGTATATTGATTTATCATTAAACATTAAAAATGACTGCTGACAGATGAAATTGTAAAATTATTTTTTTTTTTGGTAAATCACAAAATTGAGAAGAAAAATGACTTCTCAAAAATACATTTATTTTATTATTGAATAAATTATTCAAGACGAGCCTTTTTAATAAAAGAATATTTAAAAAAATAATTTGTAGGTAAAAGATCATATGCATATTCTAAAATTTAAAAAATACATAACAAATTACAGCTTACCATTTAATAAAATATATAATTTTATGAAATATTATTGAAATAACTAATATAACATGATATTAATGAACATTTAGTTAATGCATATACTGTAGATACAAAATTTAGGCACAATTCTCACATTAAAATAATCATTATTTTTTAAAAAAAAAGTATATATATAAAAAGTCCAGCCCCCTATAGTCCTAAGGCGAATATGCGAACTATCATTTTGCGTCTAAATTCTTTATTTTGTATTAGGAGAGTAGGACACTTACAGTATAGGAGCTCAACACATATGTAATTAAATTAACAGTAGTATAATTTGTTATGTGGGGCTGATCTCCCGTTAGGCAGACAGGAGATATATATGTACATCAATTGTATTAATTCTGGCTACTATGTTATGAGCTCTATGGACACAAGTGAAATGGAGGAAAAGGAGGAGAAAATTATAGTAATGAATGAATAAATTATAACATTCGGTTCTTTGGATGATAGTCTCGCAGAGCTTTATTTTTTTTATCTCTCTTATTAAATATTGTCGATTAAGTTGATCAGTATGCTGGATGTTTTAGCAACTCAACATAATTGAGCAGCTGTGCATTTTATTGTACTTCTCCCATATATATACAGTGCCTCACAGTCAAAATTATACACATGGTTATTGTCAGAAATTATAGAATAAATAAATAGTTCAATTTATGTTACATTAAAAACAATAATTTATTGTAATCAATATACATCCTAGTAATCTGCTATTTTCTTATGTTCTTATGTTATGTTTTATGTTCGTTTCTTATGTGTATGGCGGCTTCTGGTGTAGGAAATCTTCACTTTATAGTGGAAATATTCACATGGTATAGTAAATAAATATGGTTCCATAGACATTTTGTGAAGAAACTTTAAAGAAATTGTGAAAAATTAGGTAAGATATGGCTACTTAATAATTGCCTCAAAGTTATAAAATCTCCAGATCGTAATCCACAGTCACCAGATCGTAATGTGATAGAACAATTTTGGAAAAAATTGGAGGTAAAAATTAGAAAACATAAAATTTCTAGCACAGAAGACTTAAGAATGAAACAAGTTAAGCCCGAAATCACCAAATAATTGGTTGACTCCATTACAAACAGACTGAAAGAAGAGGTAGAAAATAATGGCTTGCCTACAAGATATTGAACTAAATTAATAGTATTTAAAAGTTAGTAAGAAGTGAGGAGTATCATTTTGAATGTGAGGTAACTTTAAGTCTTTTTTTCTATTTTTCTACGAAGTGTATCAATTCCACTGAGAGCTACTGTATATATATCAAGTAGTTTATTTATAAAAAATAATATAATCACAATGAAAAACAAAATAATTCAATGTTTTTTACTAATTAAAAAAAAATGAAATAAACAGCATGCAACTAAAAATTTAAATAACAAAACCAACCATATCAGCGATCTGGTGATAGTGAAGTTTTTCCATGTATCCCCTGTTTACAGGGCTCTTATTTACTTCACCATGCTGGGGTTCGATCCAACATTCTGTTATTAGCTCAGTTCGCAATTCAGCTTCATTTTCATCAAGCATTTCATCACCAGAATTACTAAAACATAGAAACAGGTGTTTGTAGGATCTTAATTGATAATTTATAATAATAATTTAAAAAAAAAAAAAATATATATATATACACACACACATACATACTCAGACAGCACACACTCACATGTATATATATATATATATATATATATATATATATATATATATATATATATATATATGTGTATATATATATATATATATATACACACACATCATATAAATACAATTTGTTAATTGGGGTGATTGAGTTTAATGTTACTTGTTTGATGATAGATAAGAAACTGTCAAATTTTCATAAATAAACAGATTGATTTAGACGTTTAGTCTGTGTGTATACCGTTTCAAAGATGTCTTGTCATAGTTTCCTATTGTTCGGATCATAGGGTTTTCAGATGTTGGTGTTAGCTAAAAAAATCTCTGAGTTTTAAAATAAATATATTTTTTCATAGTGGGAAGCTGTAATTCAGATAGCATAATAGATATTCTGGTATAACGTGGATAATTGTTTATGATTCTCATACACATAATTTTGAATCACTTTGAGTTTTTTGTAATTAGTCTCGTATGACTAACTCCATACTGCGTCAGAATAAGTGATTAAAGGGTGGATTACTGTTTTAAATAAAATTAGTTTATTTTTTGTATTCAATTGTGAATGTCTATTAAAATATGGTGACATTTCGCTGATCATGTTTTTTGCTTTTGCAATGTTGACTACAGGTGCAAATGGAACAGAATGTTCCACCACTGGAATTCATTCTTGTTCAATTCCATTTCTGTTTCATCCGAACAACACTTGAAATGAGATAGAGAACAATAAAGCAAATATGCATAATACTAAAACTATTTAAAACAACAGAAAAATCATGGAAGCAGAGGAAAATTAAGATAAACACAGAAAAAAAAAATGAAGAAAAAAATAAGTGGATATAATAGGAACATTGATGAGAGCAAGTGAGCAACATTCTCTGAAAGGGACACCTAAATCAAAGAGAATGATTGAATTAAATAGGTATTTAGAGGAGAATATTTTAGAAGATAACAAGGATCCTATTAAATGGTGATTTGGTCAGCAGAACAACTATCCTAATTTGTACAGTAGGACAAACAAATTGTGCGTTTGACCACTTCAGTTTTATGCCAACAAATTTTTTCAAAAGCTGGCATGTTGATTAATAAATGTCGGACTCGACTGTCAGCTGATATAATAAAAAAACTACTATTTTAAATTACAATTTTCAAATTCATTTATATTATGGTTTTTTAATTCATTCTAAATTTTGCACTGTAAATTTGTTTGTTTTTATCTTTATTGATTTAAATATAATTCAGCAATAAAACTATTTTTTGATTGATAAAATTCATATATTTGTCTCATTAACTTTACTTAAATATTTCCTTATCCCAAGTTACATAAAAATATTAATGAATAAAGTCGATTTCTGTTTTATATTTTACTTTTTTCTTAATTTTAACTTTTTCAATACAACAGTTAATATATAAATTTCCAAAAAAATATGGCAGGGGTATGCCAAGGTTTGGATGACAAAGGGTTGATGGAAGTGTATGTAGATAGCAATTGGTGGTTGAAATTTTGGATTCGCTAAACCTTTTAGTATGATATAATAAGAACAGAAAAATAAAGTAAAAATAAAATCTGTAAAAAAAATCTGTCTGAAAAACATACTTTTCAAAATATATCAAATCTAATTTGTAACATGAAACACACTAAATAACAAAAAAGATTATTATTTACTAATATAAAGTAAAGGTTTTATTTATTTCACCATGTTTATTTTCTATTAGCAATAGATTATTGGATTATTACAGCAACCACCCCTCTTATCAGGTCAAAAATGTAGCCAAGAATCTAATAGATATAAAACTAGTAAAAATATGGTGCACACAACACACAGCTTTCACTTACCACCCTACTTTGAGTAAAAAAAAGTCTTTTTATCATTTGATGTTTAAACTCTAAGTCATTAGTGCCCGTAATAAAGCAATACTACTATTAAAATATTTAACAACTGAAAAGAAAAATTATAGATGGTACAACATATTATTTAAAACAATTAATTACTCTATGTGTTTCTCCTCTAGTACATTATATTTTTGCGTTTTTTGTCACTACCGAACATTTCCTTTTATGACAGTTTATTTTAATTATTTATTTAATTATGATAAATAATTAAGTGCCATGAATTCTTTTTAGTACAACAAGAGTGTCAGCACTAGTGGATCCAGGATTTAATTTTGGAGGGGGGCGCTTCAGCCTGAAAGTTTTCTATAAAAAAGCATTACTACTTTGGTAGAAAAAGAAAGAAACTAACTAATTACCTGTATGAAATAGTGTTTAATTGATTCTTGAAGTTCTATTAAATGTAATTACACGAACAATAATACTTTTACAGATAGGTTTTTAATATTTATTTAATAAGACATGGTTGTTTTAACATTTATTTTGGGAGGCTTCAGCCCAAAAGTTCCCCACCTTATAGATCCGCCTGTGAGTGTCAGTAAGGAGCTCATTTCTTTATTTATGTTTCATTGTGAGTATATTTTTTGTTTAAACAATTTATGTAAAAAGATTTTAATTTTTATACTGCTGTAATCTATACATTCAAATATATTCATGTATAAGTAAATAATATAATCAGAACTCGTCCACCAAGCTTGAGGGCGTGCTCAAGTTTCCTGGGCAGTTCTCGGCTCCTTGTTAACACCCTATTGCTCCAAGTGAGCACGAGTTTCAATTCTCGGTCCCTCGATACCATCTCTCATTTCTCCTTTAGTTCATGATAATTTTTTTTCACTATTTATATTTAATCATTTTTATTCATTATGCAAATTATGAAATATTTAATTTTTTTTAAATAAACAAAATTAAAGGTACTTTTTCAGTGGAAGACATATTTGAAAAATTGACATTTATGCCCTTGGAGAACATCAATGAGGCCTACAACCTACAACCTACCTTATAAATAAGTATTTAAAAAACACTTAATTGTACATTAGCGTAATGAGTTTAATCAAAATTGTTGGAGCTATTTTTGAGAAAATCGTAAAAATGTCTTTAATCGATGATATAAGGTACCACTTCCGGTTTGCCAATTTTGATGAAATAGTTGCTGTAACATTCCGTGAATATAAAAACCTTAAATATGCAATTTCAGTTTTGTATGACTTTTCGTTTTGGACATACACATACACACACACATAGACCATTTTGTGGAACTTGGTTATTTGGACTCAGGAGACCTCAAAACATGTATTTCCATTGAAAACTCAGATTCAAAAATTTTCACGATTGAAATACTTACCCTTACTAGATATTACATATATAGTTAAGTGAAAGTAAAAAACACATAAATAGAGTGAAAGAAAATGTTTATAGAATATTAATTGAAAACTGGTATCCAGAAAAAATAATAAATGATTTATGGATAAAAGGAACATATAAAAAACATGAAGTCCATATTCTTCAGTATCAAAATTAACACCTTAATAACATAGGAAACAAACATAACCAGAAAGAAAAAAAAATTAATAATAGTATAAATACACTAATTACCCATTTTTTAAACCAATAAACCATAGTGAAGCATTGTCCACCAATAGTGTTTAAAAATAATAGAGAATACCAACACATAAACTCAAAATTTTATTCCTTAACACAAATCAATACTTCCACAGATAGAATAACCAAAAATGTTAAAAGATATGATTTATCAGATTTAAAGTTCAATAGAAAACCAACAAACAAAATTAAAAACATTTACACTAATAATAAAGATAGAATAAATAAAAAGGATAAAACAGACATAATATACAAAATAAATTGTAAGGAATATAAAAATAGCACTGATAAAAATAAGAAAAATACAAGTTACATAAGGCAAACAAAACAGAACTTGAAAAACAGAGTTAATCAACATAAAAGTAATTGAAATTCTAAAATAAAAAAAAATATAACACTTGCACAGGACTTTCAACACATATCACCCAACAGAAATATACTTTTCACTTCAATAATATTGAATTAGTAAGAAGTTAAAAAAAAAAAAAAAGTAAAGTATTAGAATCAATTTATATTACTAAAAATCTAGAAATAGTGTGTAACTTTCAGGCAAACACAAACGGGTGAAACAGTATATATGCAAATATCATTACTAAATTAGAATTTTAATTAAAGAATATCTTAATTAGTTCAAGAAATAATCCGCAAGAGTACATAGTAGAAATAACAATATAATATAATAAAATGTAACCCCCCAAATACACACTTCCATAAAGACTATAATCCAATGACGGACTGAACATAAGGAGTATTATTAAATTAAGCAAAAATATTAAAATTCACTAAGAACTGGTATCTGACTGACCTTGTCTTAATATATGTAATTTTATTTATACAATATTTTTATTCTATATTTTATTTGAATTAAATTGATTTATAAATTAACTTATTGACTCGACCCCATTAGGGTTATAATTTATACAATATCATCATGTTAAATGTAGTTTTGCATGAAACTAATTGTGAATTAGGTTTGCAGATGGCTTGAAAATGGCATCATAACTGAAACGTAGCCGATGTAGATAAAGAAAATTAAACATGGTCAAATAAATACAGCCTTTGCTTTATATTATTAAATATAATTACACCTAAAACAAAAAAAAAATATATCAATTATTATTTACAGATATATTACCTGCCCTTTGTACTAGCACTTGTCATATGTGGAGGAAAAAGAATGTACTGAATAATGCAGGGTTGAAACTTTCCTTGATTTTCAGATAGCTCTTCTTCATCATAACACTAAAATTAAAATATAATAAAACAAAGCTTAAAGGATACCACTATATATATTTAAAATGTAACAAGTAATGGTTTTATGATAGTAACCTTCATTTGAACTTCAAGTACCATGTTAATAATTCCAGCTGTACAATGTGCAAATCTAAAACCTTCCTGTAAGCGCATTCTAAAAAAAAAAAAAAATTAAATTAAAACATATAAACGTTACTTAATAGCTTTAAAAAATAATAAAGGATAGGACCAAATCACAATAACATGCTTTTATTATGTTCAAATGTCTTTGGATTAAAGAATAAAAAAAATTTTATAAACAAGTACATAATGTTTTTTTTTCTTCTCTTACACAAAATATACATCAACGAAAGGTGGTTGATATTTAAATGATTTCCTTAAAAAGTTTCCAAGATAATAAAGTTATTAAATATTAAACTATAAAAATTTAAGTGTAATTATCAAAGAAAATATATTTTTGTATAAATAGCTCATTAAAGATTGAAAAACTATTATAAACTATTTTTAAATTTATTTTTTAAAAATGAGTGCTGATAATGGATTACGTATCTATATAAATAAAATTAAAACAAAATATAAGGTTGTTAGCGAGAACGTGATGGGCGAGCACATTCAGTGTGTGTTTCGCAGTTCTCAATTCTGAATGTTGTGGGGTCGATTCCCACCTGGGTCTGTTAATTTTCATTTTCTTGGGAGTCCTGTGAAAAGAATCTTGACAATCCCACTCTGGTAAGTACGTGGCAGTAACCAACCAGGGGTTGGCAAATAAAAACCACAAGGCCCACTTGCTGGACTAGTTCTCCCCACCAGTGCCAGTAAGGTTGGTAGCAGAGGAAATTATAACTTTACAGATAAAGAATTAAGCAAAATACTTTCGATAAGCTGACAAGTTTAATGTGATCTAATATATTTAGTAATAAAATAAAATTCAAAAAGAAATAAAACAAGATTAAAAGTACGAAATACTAACTATTAGCCAGTTGTAAAACTTCTGTAGTTATCTACCATGCAGAAGCTTAAAAAAAAGAATTTACAAAGTACTTGGAGGAAAGAAAAAAGCATCCACAAACTTCAAGGGAAGTAAAAACACTAAATACCTGTTTATAAAACAAAATTTTAAATAATGGATTGCATTAAATAATCATTCCAATAAAATAGTCAACAGATAATTTAAACTGCAACCTAAAGTGAATAATATGACAATGGTGATTGATGGGCTAGTTAAGTTGTAGTGCTGGCTGAAGAATAAATAACTAAAAATAATAAACCAAAATAACAAGTATTAAAAAGACATGCCAGAAACTAAGAAATATACAGAGAAATAGATGTGATACTGTTTAAGCAATATTATTTTTGATATCAAGGAATGAAAAAAAATACCTTTTCAATATATGTATACCTATTATCTAAATATCATATTATGTGGTAATATCTTTTTATATTTGTATGACACTTCTAAGCATAAAATTGAATTTCTCATGTTTCACTTATTGATTTTTCAAATAAATACTTTTTCTATTACAAATTTAATATTACCTGGTTAAAGTAGTAAGCATTGTAGGTAATAAATTGTTGTGAGAGGCAAGAGGAGTGTGTGCATCCCATATTGATCTTTTGTGATGTAAATATCTTGAAAGAGTTGTGATTAATGTACTTGCTGGTTTCAAAGGTTTAGCTGCACTTACTGGCTGTGTTCCATCAGGAAATATCACAGTTCCAAATTCACATGGCATTCTTTCATACCTGAAGAAAACAAAATAAAACAGTGAGGAATAATTTAGTTTTTAATAGTTAATTTGAAACAATTAAACATGACAGACAATTTTAAAGAAACTAATGTTGACTGAACCACTACTATATAAATTATATAAACTGAACCACCACAAAACCCAAATCAAAAATGGACCTAAAACGATCCTCCCACCTATATCTTGATTTAGGCATAGAATCAGGATTGATCACCTTTTTAGGATTCCATTTATTGTCTAAAATAACAATTGTATATGCCAATTTCAATAGCCATGATGGTAATACTTCAATTATATTTGTAACATATGTATCCCATTATCAAGCATGACTATTTAATTGTTCAGAGTTGAACTTTTTTGATAATTAAATCAGTTATGAAAATTTCCAGAGCTCAAATATAAAAAACTCTAAAAAGGGAATTGCTCCACTTTTAAATATTATAAAAAGATAAACTTTTGGAAATAAAAATCACCATCATTTGGTAACATATTAAATGTTTCAGACATGTGAATCCTATCTAAATTAACGCATTCATTTGATATTTCCTACTCTGACAATATTTTTACAACTCTTTGAAGTCAATAGCATCATTAGTTCTTTTAAAATTAACATGAAGCTGTTTCTTTGTTTAAACTCCTTTATTTTCCTTTTATCTAATATTTACAGTAGGATAAATATTAATTTAATTATTGAACGATTCCATCAAAAACTAATCCGCCCTAGTGTAAATAACATATTAGAATGAATGAAATTTCCTGATAGCTATAACAAATTGTTTTCAGTTCCTTTTTAGAATAAGTATAGATTCTTATATCTTTTTCTGTGGGTATATTTGTTCTTTTTCTTAGAAATTTATTACTATAAGATATACTATCATTTGGAGTATTGTTAATGCTGACTGCTTAAAAGTTTTTAATTTTCTGATAGTTATTCCAACTTCCTCCTTACTGCACTTAAGAATATATAAGGAGTGGATAGGTAATTTTTTTCATACTTAAACTATTATCAAAGTGTTCTTATTTAATATATTATTATTAAAACTTATGATTTATAGCTACTAATACATAATTTTTTATTCTACTTGTTTCTATTTGTCTGATCATAATTATATGACATTAATTTTTTCACATTAAAAAAAAATAGATATTTTGATTTTTAAACACTAGAGATATGCAACATTTTAGCTAGGATTATTCTGAGTATCAAGCTATTTTCCTACTTTTGCTTAAATTAACAAGACTTTCATTAAACCATTGTTTGCACGTTTCATTTTCTCTTTTGCCTTTCAGTAAACAATAGAAAAAAATTTCATATTAAGGATTTTTTAAAACAATGTTTGTAGATTCAATTTTTTTTTTTTTTGGGGGGGGGAGGGGAGGATATTTTATTTTCACAATTGTTGATAAATAAAGAGGAAGAAGTCATTTTAAGATTTTTATTGTTGCCAACGTTTTAACTCAAACATGTGGGTCATCATCAGGGCATGTCTCCATTAGTGAAGGTGTTCAAGTACTAAAGTGTTGAATACTTGAACACCTTCAGTACTGGAGATGTGCCCTGATGATCACTAATGTATCCAGAATTTAATTTGGGAGGGGGGCTTCAGCCTGAAAGCTTTTTTTTCATAAATATGACGATAATTCTTTTGGAAAAAAAAAGAAAGATACTGATTATCAATATGAAATGGTGTTTAAGTGATTCTTGAAGTCCTATTAAAAATAATTACATGAACAATAATACTTTAAGAGATTATTTTTTACGAGAAGGAATTAGTCGAGGGTGCGGTCAAAAAAATAAAAAAAAATTAAAATATATAAATAATTTTAATTTTTATAAATATATTTTAATTTTTTTTTATTTTTTTGACCGCACCCTCGACTAATTCCTTCTCATATCATATCAACGGTCAACCAACTCTACATGATTATTTTTTACCTCAAAACATGGTTACATTTTACCATTTAGGGGGAGGGGACTTCAGCCCAAAAGGACTAGATGATATTAAAAACTATATAATTGCATATTGATATAATAAATTTGATTAAAAATTGTAGAAGCCGTTTACGAGAAAATGGTAAAAATATGTAAAATCAATTATATTAAGTGGCTATTCTGGTAAGTTGATTTTAGGAAAAAAGTTGCTGCAATATTTCAGGCATATAATTACCTTAAATATGAATTTCAGTTTTATACAAGTGTTTTGCTAGATCATTTTGCGTGACTTGGTTGTTTGGAGTCAGTAGCCTCATAATGTGTAATTACGTTTAAAACTTGGAGTCAACAATTTTCATAATCGTGATACTATATATTTCATAAACTTATTGCTAAAATATTTTAAAAAAGCCCTGAGCAGCAGAGCTCCGTCACTAACTAAGGTTTTTCCACTTGTCTACATCATTTACCACTAATTTATAATTTTAAAAAAATAGATTAGAGTGCTACCAGTGGGTAGTTTCTCAACAAGCGTGTTTCATGTAATAATATTTCTCTGTACAAATTTACTAGATGTATTCATACTAATACAGTTGTAAATATCATAATAAAAGTTAAAAAAAAAAAAAAAATAGAAAGGTATTAAATTGTTTCATTGACATTAAATAGAGAATTAAAAGCTGTTAAAATTATTACCCAATGGTTTATTATATTCAAATAGTTATAAGTTCAATATGCATAGCGAACAGCTTTGACTGACACATTAAAATTTATACACAATGATTAGGATTTTTAATAATATTAATTTAATAGTATATCTTTTTAATAAGCTATTTATGTAATTATAAAAATTTTCATATCAGAATTAGGACTCTTAAAGACCAGGGAGATATAAATTTTAAAATACCGATGCAGCGCCTAAAACGATGAACTAATTTTAATGAAAAATGGCTTAAGTCTTCTCCTCGAAAAACTTTAAATTTAATTCTATAATAAACTTCACCCAAAAGAAGTCGGAAAAAATAATTATGATGTTAACATTGGATATCCAAAAAATACAACAAGTATTAACTTTTTTGTAGGCAATTTAGTATATTTTCAAAATGGTCATTTGAAAGTATACTAAATTACCTATAAAATAAAAAAAAAATCATTAAAATTGGATGATTTGGTAAAATGAAATGTCATTACAAATATTTACCAAATGTTCTAAAGCTGACTATTGTTTTGTCTTAAATTTCTTTAAGTTTCGTGCATAACAGATCTTTTTAATTACTGGCCGATTCTTGATGAAAGTTTTTTTATCGTTTAGAAAATTTATTTGTCTTCAAAATATGTTCTGAACCAAAAAGGGCAAAAAGTGCACCCAGCAATTTGTTGAAATCATCCACTTTACTTAACACTGAAGACATATTGTCAAAATTGATATTAAACCTTAAATTTAGTATATGTAATTATAATCAATTCAAGCTAAGAACTACTGACCTTATAAGTATTTTTTCCAGTGGCTTTTGTATAAGGGTACAACATTCAACTTCAGAACGCAAGTGAGCTTCCAGAGGTAGGTCATATTTTCTCAGTGAATCCGCACGTTGTGCTATTCTCAGGTTTTTAATTTCTTCTTTGATGTCTTCAACTACCTTTAAATTTAAAGTTAAAAATAAATCTAAAGTGTAACAAGAATTGTTTCAATTGATCTATATTATTCCTTTTAATTTTTGGGATTACATCAACAATCATTAATGTCATAAAGCAAAACATGCTGAAAATGGGTACAGAAAGATATATTTAATAAAGGAGAAACACTTGCTATTTTCGTTAGATGTCTATTTAATTTTCCTTGTAGCTACCTGGCCTCTAGTATAAAAATTAAAATGGATTCTAACATAAATAAATCTGGTGTGTGAGCACCATCATGCAACTTACGCTTACAAACCTATTTTGAGTATAAATAGGTAATTCCAACTATAGGTAAGTGAAAGTAAAACTTCTAGACTTCTAATCATAGGCATCAGCTATTAGGAAATATTGGGGGGAGGGCAAGGTTAGCATTACTGGTCTTAGACATTGGTGGTCAAAGGGCAATGATGTTATCTCCAACAAAAAATTTAATTCATTTCTTAATTTGTTTCAGATCTAATAATTTTTGACCCAGTATCACCAAAAAGAATTTCATTAAAATTGGTCACCAGAAACCTATAGCCTCCCATTGTTATTATTGGAACATGCTTTAAATAAAACCTTTCAAGCTATTTATAAAATACAATGATAATATGCTTACCATTACAGATAGAAATGAAATGAAATGAAACTTTTTTATGCATATTGAATACATTATTTACCAAATTTACCAATGAGAGAATAAAATAATAAAATCAGATTCTTAGACATTAAATAGAATTGAAATTGGCACAGCAATCATAACCAAAACAAAATATCAAAACTGCTAAAAATATTAATTGCGCACATTATCAATATTAATTGATAATATTCATATCAAAGAAGTTAAATCGTAAATATAAAAATTCTCCTAGAAAATTAAAATATTGGTATCCTATCAGACCTATAAAAAAATTATGGCACAAATAAAAAAGAGATGAACAATGATGATAATAAAATACTTAAGGAGAACCAAAATATCAATTTAACTAAAATAAAACTAATTAACAAATTAGGAAAAATATACAGTAGGACCAAAGAGGGTATTCCAAAAGAAACAAATAATTGATATGGTATATAAAATATAATATGAAGATATGAAAAAACGAAGCATATTATGGACAAATTTTCCAATGGTTAGAGCATAAATTGCAACATCAGAAACAGAAATGCAACTCAAAAGCTAGAAAATCAAAATTAGTGACTGTATTATGGTAACACATAGTGAAAAATGGACAGAAATTTGATTTTAATAATGCATTGATTCTGTATAGAGAAGAGATTATAAATAAACACAGAGTATTGGAATATATGTTTATAATACTAACATTAAACAATCGGTTAACCAAGAATTACGCCAATATGAGGCCAATAATGCAGTTTAACGTTAACTACATTAACAACTATTGCCTTCTATAGAGGTATTCTGGTTTCATATTTACAAACCTGGTATATATTTTGTGGCTATGTATGTATTTGCCTTTTTTCTGTGTGTGTATGGATGTATGGGTACGTATGATATATGTAAGTGTTACACATATACACTGTATGCATGATACATGTGTATAAATGTGGGTAAATATGGTATAAAACATGGGGGTTCGTTCCCCTCATGATCCATCACTCCCAATACCATATCTATGGAGATGATTTCCAAATATACCTGTCCTTCCCATCCTCCGACCTATTATCTGCCACAGAAAAACTTCAAGAAGACTTGGATAGAATTTGTGACTGGGCTAGAGCTAACAAGTTGAAGCTGAAAGCGGAAAAGACGAAGGCAATCTTAATAGGTTCCAATCACCTCCTTAAAACTGTTCCTAATATTCCAACTCTGTTCCTTCATGATAATCCCATCAACTTTTACCCCACTGTCAAAAACCTTGGAATAACCTTTGATCAAACGCTTTCCTGGAAAAACCATGTATCCAATATTTCCCGCCGTACCATTTCCACTCTAAAAGCTCTAAATTATTATCGTCACCTATTTCCATTTATAACCCGTAGGCTCCTAGTCACTCCTTTTTCCCCACTTTGACTATTGCTGTTCGGTATATGGGGGCGTCTCTGGGGATCTTGAGGCGAAACTAAAACGTTTGATAAATTGCTTTGTACGATTCATCTTCGGAATACCAAGGGACGCCTCTGTTCCTTATTTTTATGCAGAGTTGAAGTGGCTTTATCCTTCCTACCGTCGTAAGTATTTCCTGGCATCCTTCCTCTTTCAAGTCATCCAATCCCACCGCCCTTCATACATCTCCGAGCTCCTTCAATTCAAATCCTCTGTTCGTTCCCGCAATACTCGTTCCCGGTCTTCTGATTTATACATAAGGGCCCACCGAACTGCTGCTTTCGACAGATCTTTCATTATCGGATCCTCACCCCTTTGGAACTCCATTCCCTCTCACATTTGTCAATCAAATACCTTCCTACCTTTAAATCCCGCCTGTTCAATCATTTATTAACCATCCAGTCCCATGAAATTGTAAATAGATACTAATGTAAATATGTATATAAATTATTAGTTCTTTTTACTTCATCCTTTTTTATTTTTATTTTTTTATTTTTATTATTAACTGATTCAAATTAGAAAGTAACTTATAATTTTTCATTTTTTTTACTATGACTGTTTAATTACTCTGTATTTTTATTTATGTATCTCTAAGGCTCCTTAGCCCATATTTATGTCTTTCTGTATTATTCTAAAGGGACTCGTCCCAGAATAAATAAAGTATTATTATTATTATTATTAAATAAGTATACCTCCACTCAAAATATATACAAATCTAAATTTATACCTTTCCACCTATAACTCCCACACCTAAATATAAATCAATCATACGTAAAGATCCAAGTAAAATTGGATAAGAAGATTCAACAAACCCAATAATTATAATAAAAATAATTGTATTCCATTTGGAAATGATTTTGGCCTTATAATAATTTTTTTTTTCTTCTGTAGCATTACAGACCATGTAGATCTTTTGCTGCCTTATCAAGCCTGCTCCATCTCTGCCTGTCTTGGGCTATTTCTTTCCATTTATCTGCACACAGCTCTGTTGCGTCTTTGTTGATTCTATCTATCCATCTGCTTTTTGGCCTTCCACATGGTCTTTTCCCTTCTATTGAGGCATTCATTGTTACGTAGAGGCTTCCAAATGGATTGCTACGAGCTACATATCCTGCCCATCATAACCTCCGTGCCTTCATATCATGGGATATTGATTGACCAGTTTCTGTAAGCAGTTCTTTATTGGTCTTTCTTCTCCATGTACTCTGATCCCACATTGCTTTGCCAGAATGCGTTTAGGACAGATTTCGTTTAAAAATTATATAAATCTAGTGAAGTTGCATGATAGCTAATTTAATTTTAATTAAAACTAATATAATCTAATTTCAATTGTATTATATGAGACATTTCATAGCCTTAAATAATTAAGAATTTTGAAGAAGTTTTCCTTTATGAAATCTTAAAATTGAGTGCTTGTTGTAACTAAATTTTGATATGTAAAAGAGTTTGTGTCATTTTCAGGCACTTAGTGTTTTTTTAATGTTGAAATTCACAAAAACATATTTCTGTTTAAAATTAACCTATACCAAAAAAGCACTGACCTTTTGTAAGAGACTGATATATGGAATTATATTATATAAATATTAAATTACCACAAGATGTGTTAAACTTGAAATAGTTTAATGTTATATTGACTAATTATTGGGTTGACAAATAAGTCCTTTCGGTTTTTCATGGTGAAATAAAACTCAATGTATTATAGACATAAAATTTATTTTAATCAACAATATATTGACCATTATTTAATATGACTTTTTCCCATTTTTCCACTAACTGCATAATGGAATCTCTGGAGTTTATTGTTAAAAAACTGATCCAAGTGGTTTTTGATGTCCTCTTGCTTTTGGTATTTCTTTCCATTTATGGAGTCCTGCAGAGACTGGAATAAGTGGTAGTCACTTGGAGCTAGGTCTGGTGAATTGGGAGGGTGGGATAAAGGTCCCATCCAAGGCTCAATAATTTATTGCAAGTGACCAATGAGGTTTGGGGCATAGCGTTGTCTTGGTAGAACAAAAGACCCTTCCGATCATTCATAACTCTGTTCTCCAAATTTGATGTTACTATATCTGTTGGAAAGCTGAATTGTTTCTCTTTAAAGCTGTAGGAAAGGTTTTTTGATTTAATTCCTACATAAGGAATAAATAAACAAAAACTCCTTATAGGTTTTTATTTTTTATCTCTATTTGTAGTTTGTTTACAAAGGTCTTGTTGATGTAATTTTGTGTAGTTTATGTGGCCATAAATTTCTTGTAGATAGCTAAAGTCGCATATAAGAAGTTTTGGACAATGGGCACTGGAGGAGACCGGAGGAGGGACTGATCCCAAAGAGTCAGTTAAGGCTGGGTCTGAGGGTGAAAGCCTGCCATGCTCTCAACCCAGGAGTCCTTCCAATATGTCTACTGATGAAGAGACTTAGATGAGGCTGCTGAAAATAAACCTAAACCATTGTATTGCTGCTAGTAGGGTGCTCCTCCTCAAAGGTGAGAATATTGACATCATATTAATCCAAGAACCTTATTTAAGTAATAACAGGATCAGGGGATTGGGAATCAATGGTTATGGAATTATTTCTGTTACCACCAACCCCAGGGCTTGTATTCTATATAAAAAAAATCACTAAAACTACTGCCTCTTTGGCAATTTTGATCTAGGGACTGGGCAGCAGCCAAATTTACTTCACCGAGAGATAAAAGGACACTGACCATAGTGGCGGGTTACTTAACATATGAGTCGGGAGTCCCTGCACAAGACATGGAAGAAATTCTGAATTCCAGCAATGAAAAAACGCTGATGGGACTGGACGCCAATACCCACAACATCATATGGGGCAGCCACAAGAACAACCTTAGAGGTGATATTACTGGATATTATTATTATTAATAACTTACAGATATTAAATAGGGGCAATAGACCTACCTTCTTTAATAAACTAAAATCAAAGATCATTGATATAACATTGGCCACTAGTCAGGTCCCGTCAAAAATACAAAACTGGCATGTACTGGATGTGGAAACATGTTCAGAACACAAATATATCAGATTTGACTGGTCTGACGATATTAAAACCATAAAGAACTATAGAAATCCAAAATCTACGGACTGGAAGAGGTATTCACCTCTCATATCTAGAGGAGGCAATCAGTTATTTTCCAAAAATATAGACAACACTTGGCAGTTAGAATGCCTAAATTCATCTCTAACAGACGGAATTAGGAACTCATATTTGAGCAGTAATGATGTCACAACCAAAATATCCAAGAGAAGGGTATGCCAGTGGAACAAGGACCCAGAGAGACAAAGAACACTTGCAAGAAGGTTATTCAATGCCACAAAAAGACATGGCAATTGGGAGGTTTATAGGACCGCCCTCACAAAATATCATAAAACTGTGAGGAAAGCTAAAAGACGGTCTTGGAGGAACTTCTGCCAAGAAATTGATAGTACTCCTATGGCAAGTAGGATCAAAAAAATACATACTAAACAGAAAGACCAAGGAACACTGGGTACACTCAGGGTTAATGGCAAACATACTAATAATGAGCTGGAAACCCTGAGAGAACTAGCAACAGTACACTTTCCTGGATGTGAGACCATGGAAAAGGCTTGTACAGACACTACACTCCCGAGCTATACAGCTAATCGAGAGGGGTGGATTAAGGCTAGGAAAATTATTATGTCAAATTTACATGTCAAAATTTCATGAATGAAATTTGGCAAACCAATTTTGACAGGAGCATTCAGTTAAGACAGCGTCTCCATAAACACTGCAATTTTTTCTATGAGCTTCTGCAGCACACTTACCTTTTTTAAAATAGTATAAGAAAATATGCCGATAATGAATGATATTTTCTTCCATATTCACAGTGCAATAGCAAACACAATACTAAGCCAGTTTCAACAAGAGTTAACAGATATAGTTGTTGACATATTACAAACAGGATAAACAATCCACCTTAGGGATTAATTCATCAGATAAGAAGTGTATCATAGTGACATAAAAATAAACAGAAAAACCGAAAGGACTTATTTGCTAACCCAATACAATTTTTGCAGTTTATACTTGAAAATGGCCCATAAAGCCAGTAATAACAAAAGGATATTAAAGTAAATGAATTTTTCGGTGACCTTTGTCAAAAAATCATTTAAATAATAATATGGCACCAAACATGAAACATATGACTAAAAAATAAAAATTTAAAACAATTAAAGTCAGTGTTTCAACCGCCTCCCGCAGTGCCACATCCAACGCCCTGAAGACGACCTGCAAAGTGGGTCGAAACGTCGGCAAAAATTAAAATTATTTATATATTTTAATTTTTTTTATTTTTTTTTGACCGCACCCTCGACTAATTCCTTCTCATATCAAATTAAAGTCATAAATACCTGATGCCTTAGGTTCCCAGGAGTTCCTCCAAGAAAAGCAATATGTATAACAGCACATGGTGGCTTTGAAGTAACACGCACAATAAAAAACCAGGTAGGTCCTTTATCTCCTTCACTACAAAATAAATAATAAATTTTATTGAAAAATAAAAGCAGTAAAATATTAATTAACATAATTAAAATGTATTACACTATCATTATGAGTAACAAAATACTCACAGTTTATAAAAAAGTATTATTTTTTTTTAAATATGAAAATTAAACCAAAAAATGATTTTTTGAAATATAATTTGATTCAGAGAACTAATCATACAAATCAAACATAAAAAATAAAAGTAAAACAGATACATACGTTGGTGGCATAATTTTAATATATGAATGGTTTTCTATTAATACAAAGGTTGTCAACTTCTTCAATGCTCCATATAATGTTGCTTCAGCCTGTCGACATTGTAATATCTGAGAACGGGGATTTATACTAAGTACATGCAACGAATGAGGCAATGGTCGGTCAGGTTGAAGTATTAAACCAAGACGATGAGTGTGCAACCATTTTTGCCAAACACTCGGCTCTAGAAGTACAACAGGCCTCCAAAATTGAGCAAATAAAGGACAAGATGTTCCACTAAAAGAATAGAAAAATAAATTATTATTGGATATAGAATAAAATCCATTTCAACTATTCAATCAATAAACTTTAAACATTGATTCAGTATTTTAAGAAACTATAGTGTTTAAGTGGTATGCATTTTATAATAGAAGGATAGGTCTCTGTTCCAGGGAAATCACCAGAATTTGTGACCTCGAGGTCTTTGAATAATAACCCAAGCGAATTCCTGTGAAAATTATCAAGCTCCGATGAAGGCCTGAAACTTAGGCCGCAATGTTGGCACTAAATAAAATAATTATTTTTTCTCAACCATATTATTAACAAAGATTAAAAAGCAAGAAAATACAGCACAAAAGAGATTTGCTTTAAATATTAAATTTAATTCAAGATTCTAACATTCTAGAGCTCCTCTATTAACATCCTACTCACTCCTGGCTGAAGCATACTTCTAATGATATGTGTAAGTCCATTTTCAAACATAAGTTTTAATCTTAAAATAGTTTGAATATTTTTTCTTTATGTATTCCTAATGATATGATTTTTATGGGACCAGGTTATCAGCCCAGCAGCTAACCCTCAACTTTCCTTCTAGCACATAAGGCAGAATGGTACCAGAAATAAAGGAAAAGAACAAAAAGTACCATTGGACGGGGTGGTTAGAATGGCTGTTAGAGGTCAACAGTCAGTTGTCCCGCAGAAAATAGTATGAGTCTACTCTAAGGTGACCAGATTTCAACATTGGTAAAGCAGAACATCATTGACTGGGGGTGGGGAGAGTAAATTAGTAGCTAAAGTGGCTTCTTGATTAAAATTTGGTTCATTCTCTAAGTCCAAACAATAGTTCAAATTTGTTGTTACTTTTACTTATAATTAATTTTACATTATGATAATATAGTGCAAATGTTATTCAGGTGACATAGTGTTCAGCTGAAATAAGGTAGAGAATTTAGTTTTAAAGGCGTATTTTTGAGAACAAATAATTTGATGATGTATTTATGACTTCAATAATAACACAGTTTTTAAGTTTTAAATGTTTTATGCCAGTTGTTTGTACACATTGTACTCTTTAAATGCTACCTATTTTTCAAAATGCTATAAACCTACTGAAGGAGACAAAATATCAGTAATCGAAGTAGTAAATGAAATTAATTTGCTGATGCTCAAAATTTAACCTTTTCCTTATCAATATATTTTTTAAATAACAATACCTCATTACAAAGACCAATTTCGGGTTTTTTATTATCATTAAGTCCAAACAATGGTGATTGAATTCTTTCAACTGATCAACTATGGGAACTTTACTAAGTAGTTCTTGATAATCAGTTCTCAACAATTATTTGTTGTTATTAAAGTTTAACATTGTAAAATCAAAAAAAGTAATATAAAATCCAAATCATGGTGAAATAGTTTGTAAGTGTCCGCCAAAAACCGTATATTCTCTTTCTGTTCTCCTGCCCTTACCTAGCCTGTCGTGCATTCTTTCCAAAAATTCGGAAATTTTCAAAACGCCGCAGGACGTGAGAGAAATTGTTAAAAATCGGAACTGTCCCACCTAAAGCAGGACGTCTAGTCACCTTAGTCTACTCTACTTCTAAACTCGTAGGGTGAGATAAAATGACCCATGACCATCCATATTATTTTCCTTTATAATACAGTATCGTTTGTTTTTTACATGTGTTTAACTTTATTCTATACATGAGTTCTTTCAATCATTTATATTTTTCTCCCCTCTCCTATAGCAGTGGTACCCCACTTAGTGGATTTTTTTATTTTACTTTTACCCACATTATAACTAAGGTCCATTGTATGGAGTTAAATATATAAATTAAATAAATATTTAATGTAAAAACAACTATTATCTAATCATTAGAAGGAATAATACTACTTAAGATATTTAAAATTTCAAAATAATTGGTATACAAACAAAGGTTCTTTAAAATCTGTATTTAGAATATAAAATAAAACTTAATGTCAATAATGTTCTTACCTTGAAGAAAGTTCAGGAGGGGTTAAATTAGATGGGAGATAAAATAAAGGCATTCCATTTTTTATGCTATCAGGAATAGTATGAGCCATTGGACTTTCAGAAAATGAATCCAAATGAGATAATAGAAGATCTGTGTGTGATAATGTTTTTAAAGTACCCCAGAAACGAGAAACAACAGCTTGTCTGTATGGCGAATGAAACGGTTTCTTCATCAAACAAGTAATATCATGAAGAAATTCATATGGTGCTAAAACATATAATTTGGATTTTCATATCCATCTTTACGAATATATTTTAAAATATTAGAAAGTTATTACTATCAGGAAGAAATAATAAAATACAAACTATAAAACAAAACAATACTAATACACCACACTTTTAACTTGAATTGAATGGAGTTTACCTTTAACAGATAAACTATAATGTACCAAATTCTTGAAGCTACTAATAGGCCACTCTGATGTAATTACATATTCTATAAATATATGATTGGACCAAGGCAACACCATAGTTATTTCTAGTTCTTTCTCCCGAACAAGAACATTCTGAAAGTAAGGAATTATTATTCATTTATATTTTCATATCATCTTTGAAAGAAATTATAGAATACATTAACTTACTTTCTAGAAAATAAAACATTTTTGTAAACAAAATTTATTAAATAAACATAGATTTAAAATCTCAATATTAGTAATATATATATATATATATTAATTTTAAGAAAGGAAAAAAGTGTGTTATATGAAGATGTTTTTCGCAAATGTGATATATTTATTAATAAATCAATGTGTATTGCCTATTTACTTTGTGATTAGTAAGATTTGTGTATTATTGAATGGCTAAAGTAATACAACAATAAAAGCTTCATGCATAAAGAATGTGATCTGTCATAATGATATGCTATCTCTGTCCCCGATCTAGTAGTACTTATATGGGGGGATTGTATTACTAGATGTATGGGGGGAAGGAGGGGTTTTCTGGTTGAAGCCCCCCAAAATGGACCAAATACAGTTTTTCATTGGGTCATATTGTCATTGTGAGTGAGCCAAGCTTAATACTTAAACAATAACATTTGTCATTGTAAGTGAGCCAAGCTTAATACTTAAACAATAACATTTGCCATTGTAAGTGAGCCAAGCTAAATACTTAAACAATAATATTTGTCATTATGAGTGAGCCAACCTAAATACTTAAACAATAACATTATGTTCGATTTTTTAAATTATAATGCATACGCAGCTACTAAATATAACCGTGTCTTATAAAAATTATCTCTTAAAATATTATTGTTCGTGCACTTGCATTTTTAATAGAACTTCAAGAATCACTTAAGCACCGTTTCATACAGGTAGTATGTTTCTATCTTTTTCTTCCCAAGTAATTATTGTTATATTTATAAAAAATAAGAAGCTTCCGGGCTGAAGTCCCCCTAAAATTAAATCCTGAATCCACTACTGTTAACACCTATTGCATTATCACAGTTACACAGAATTTGGTCTGTCACTGAGAGCCATACAGAAAGATTGTAGATTATGTAAAGGAATCTTAAGAGAATAAAATAAACAAAAATAAGGTCACTTAGTTCATAATGAAGTTTATAAATTATGGTTTGGTCAGTTATATAAATAAAATTTTATGAGGTATACACTCCTCAAAAAATTAAAGAGTCATGTCTTTAAGTTATTATTCAATAGATAAACTGATTTCAATGTAAATATTTACACAGAAAGTGAACACAAATATTGGCTGTTGAATAAAACTGTTTATATATTAATTCTAATTCACATATGTTTAATCTTAATAGGATATGCTAAATAATAGCAAAATAGAAAATAACTCAGTTCGCCAACTTAATGATCTATCAGTTTTGTTATAATTTTCATTAAATAAAATCATTAAAGATGACTGCAACTAGAGTTCAACAAAGGCATTTAAATGAAGTTGTAGTGAATAAAGCTGTCAATCAGCCAAAGAAAAGATATTCTCAGAGTCAAGGTTTAACCAGTCTGGGGATAAAATTTTGAGGTATCAAAATTATTTAGTGACTGGGCACGTCACTAGGCTAGTCTTAGATACGTAAAAAATACAGGAGGAGACATATTTTTTAGATTCCAAGTCCTGTGGAATTGATTTTCTACTGCTACTAACCTTTTCAATAATCTACAATATGCTACTGGGACACGTGTTTCGATTCAGATGATAAAAAATAAACTATGGAAGGTGCAGATGGCTTCAAGAGTTCCTAAAAAAGTTCTATATTTAAGTAGGTATCATGAAATTTTTAGAAATTTATTAACAATAAAATTAAAACAATCCAATGGTCTCCACTTAGATCTCACCTAAAGCTGATTGAGCATCTATGAGATGAACTTGGACCTTGCATTAAGAACCTATAGACCACTTTCAAAATCTAAAAAACCTAGAAGCTGTACTACACATCTTAAGCCCAGAATTGTATAATTACTTATTATTCTAAAGGGACTTGTCCCAGAATAAATAAAGCATGTTAGTTTGATCTATCCATCTGCATTTTGGCCTTCCACGTGGTTTTTTGCCCACCATTGAAGCATTCATAGTGCGTGTAGAGGCTGACATAGTCGTGTAGAGACTTCCAGATGGATTGCTCTGGGCTACATCCCTCATCCATCTTAACCTCCTTACCTTCATATTATGAGATATTGATTGACCATTTTCTGTAGGCAGCTCTTTCTTGGTCTTTCTGCTCCATATGTTGTATCTGATCCAAGATCACTCCAGTTATCGTTCAGAGAACTTTTCTCTCAAATTTGTCAATACTTTTTTTTCAGGGCACTGGTTAATGTTGAGGTCTCACAGCCATATATTAGAAGTGGCTTTATTGTAGCACTGTACACCCTTATTTTGAGATCTCTTGAGATTTTTTGGGATTTAAATACCTTTGAAAGGGAGAAGGAAGCTCTATTTACACTTGTTGTACACTGGTCAGTTTTTTGACCATTGGTCATTCATTAAGATCATTCCTATATTTTGGTAGCCACTCAACGCAGAATTTAATGCTACATATTTATTTAAAAAATTATTTTTTAAAGTTGGATAATTACTGAATTATTTTTAATAAACTATGAAAAGTCAGAAACTTTCAGTTTATTTCGGGAATACTGCTTAAAATACCAGAAGAGGTACATATGCGACATAGCATGATTTTTGAGTTTCGCAAGGATAGTAAAGCAACAGTTACTACCAAAAACATTTGCGATGTTGATCCAAATGCATTAGACATTCATAAATGCTAAAGATGGTTTTCCAAGCTCAAATGTGGTAATTTTGATCTTTCCGACTTGTAACGATCAGGACCAACAATGTTAGACAATGATGTGTCAAGGCCGGAAGGGGAAGTGAATCCGTGTAAGATAATTGAAGAATCGTCAAACAGTCTTAACCAACCTTGGTCGACCATGCAAGAACATTTACAGGATATTGAGAAACCACTACATGCAACTTATTCCTTCAATGGCAGAATACAGAAACGTTTTTTGATCGCTTGATCCCCAGAGATGAAAAATGGGTCCTCTATGATAATCTAAAATGCAAAAAACAGAAGGTTTCTCCAAATGAATCACCAGAAAGTACTGCTAATCCAGATTTACATCTCAAAAAGGCCATTTTGTGTGTTTGGTGGAGTATTTGGCAAGTTATTCATTTTGAACTGCTGAAATTTTAAGAAACTGTGAATGCAGATCTTTACTATGGACAATTGGGGTGTAAATCAATCGTTAATTGAAAAGTGGCCAGCTATTGTCAACAAAAGACACATTATTCTGCAACATGATAATACAAGACCCCAATGAGCAAGACGAACTCTGGAAAAAATTAATGAATTGGGGTGGGAGTAACTGCCTCACCCAACATACTTGCCCAATGTTACACTATTGGATTTTCATTTATTCCAATCGTTTTAATAGTTTTTAAGTGGAAAAAGATTTGCAAAATTGGATGATATCCAAAATGATATCTCTATATATTTTTCTCAAAAAAGAATTGATTTTTATTGGTCCGGCATTGAAAATTTGCACACTAGATGGCAAAAAGTTGTTAATAATGAGGATTATTACATCATTGATTATAATTAAAAACTGTTAAAAATCTATGTGTTTGAATGTAAGAAAACGACATTACTTCCTGGTTCCCCCAATATTAGGTAATTATTCTGGAAGAATAATTCCAGTAGAATAATTAGATTCCATAATTGAAATAGATGGTGCATGTGACTTGGAAATAAAAAGAAAAATTTCAGATGGCAAAAAGACCATATCAATGCTAAACTCGGTATTATGTGGAACCGGAACATTATTCACAAAACAAAAAAATATATATATATATAATAGTATAGTACTGAGCATTATGACATATGGGTCAGAAACTTGAACCATAAAAAGCAACCTCAGAAAGAAACTTCTAGCCATCGAAATGGACTACTGGAGACGAGCAGCGGGAATATCCAGAATGGATAAAGTCAGAAATACGACCATTAGAGAAAAGATGGAGGGTAAAAGAACCATTCTGGAAGAGATTGAGATAAAACTCCTGAACTGGTATGGACATTTGGAAAGAATGCCAGAAGGAAGACTACCCAAAGAAGTCCACTTATGGAAAACTAGGGAAAGAAGAAGATGGGGAAGACCAAGGAAGACCTGGGATAACGAAGTGGAGGAATCTATGATGGGTCATGGTCTACAGGAAGAATAGACCTTAGATAGGATATTATGAAAAGAAGCCATCCAAGGTTTAGGCTAAGGAAACCCACTATTAGTGGAAACTCCTAAAAAAAAAAAAATCTGGAAGAAAAAGGAATAAACTATATAAAATGAAGTTTAAGTGGTCCTTGAAGGCCTATAAAAAACAAAATATGTTAATTACAGTAACAGTAGTGTTTTTAGGCATAATTTTCCTTTTAATTCTTGACATATGTTTACTTTAAGTAGTTATATATGTGTTATAAGTATGGACCAATAAGAAAAGCAATTACTTTTATATTTTGGGGGCCTCAAGCTTGAAAACCCTGTCTGTAGATCCGCCAGTGATTCGTACAGTCCTTTTTTTTGTTTTATCTAATGTTACATAACTTTTTTTATTTTTGACAGAAAAATATGGAAATAAAATTTACTAAATAACTACTTTACTGATAAAACAATACTTTTCAAACAAACAACTATTAAAGATAAGACTAAATTTTATACTTTTATAAATTTATACTATAGATATGTTAAACTACTACAATAATTATAAATACCTTGATTATATAGCCTTCATGCAATCGACAGCAAAGAACACTTGTAAGACTAGCAATAAGATGCTCTTCACTTTGTTTTTTAGTCAACATCTGGTGTTCTCTATTTCCATAAAAACTTTGATTGCTAGAAATACAATCAGGTACAATAAAGTAATTTACAAATTCATTAATCAAAGATAAAACTTTAAAATAAATCATAATAAGATTATTACATGCATTCCTAGCAAAAAATATATACCCTAGAAAAAATTACAAATTAGAAAACATTAATTAGGTTCTGGAAACATTAATCTGTAACTACTAATTCTGAGTATCATTAACAATGATTACAATAACCATTTAAAATATAAAATTAATTTTAACTATCTAATTATTCCACCTCTATCCTAAATCATCATTGATATATTAAATTAACACTATTATATTCTGATATAAACACTGTTTTATTTAGAAAATATAACAATTTTTCTAAACAAAAAATCAGGCCTTGAAATGGAAGAAATTCATTTTGCCAAAAAGTAAATCTTAAAAATAGTAATTGTAATCACTGCTCAATCAAAGGAAGTACGATAATCAGGCAATTCATTCAAGAGTAATTATTTCTGTAATCTAAGCCCACTTATTATTTATTATTGTACATAGGTGTGAATGTGTTTTATTTATTTTATTATCATTCGGCTTTAATCTGTTATTTTACTTATATTGTATATTACTTTATCTTTTTATTTATATATATTTTTTTGTTCCTTTCTCTTCTTACTTGGTTATTTTTATTTATTTTCCTTTCTTATGTACATATTGTGTGAATGAATACTATAGCCCTAGTACCAACGCCCTTCAGTGTGGCAGACTGTATTAATACTCAATAAAATAAATAAAAAATTGATTTATTACTCAATTAAAAGTAAACTTTTACAGTAATCACAGGACTTTAATCAAACACTACATGACTAAAAGTAAAAAGAACCTTTTTATCTCTTTTGTAGATTTTAAAAAGGTGTATGATTCGATAGATAGGAAAACACTACTTGAAGTACTAAAAGAATACGGAGTTGACCAAAAAACTAGAAAATTGATAGGGCTAACGATGACAGGGACTGAATCTAAAGTTAAATTCCAAGGAAATATCAGTGAACCATTTCAGATCAAAACGGGACTCAGACAGGAGACGGGTTGACTCCAATGCTGTTAAACATATTACTCGACAAGATCATAAAGGAACTATGGAAAATCAACAATTCAGGTGCAACCTTAGGTACTAAGAACAATAACGTCAAATTTGGATGTCTCGCATACGCATACGACGTTACCCTTTTATCAGAAACTGAAGAAAAGGCGATTGCCCAAATAAACACCCTCTCGGAAATAGAGAGGAAAATAGGCTTAGGAGATATCTTTTGAGAAGACGGAATTGATGACCACGGACGCAAATTTTAAGAATAAAACAATTGAAACCAAATACGGAACGATTAAAGTAACTCAGAGATTTAAATACCTTGGAGAAATCATATGCAGCAATGGGTCAGAGAGAGAAGGGTTTAAGGAAAGAATTGCCAAAATAGAGAAATTAAGCTTCAACAACAGTGAGCTTTATAAAAAGAAGAACTTGTCTCTAAAAGCCAGAATACAACATTATAACACGGTCGTCAAGCCAGTGGTACTCTACGCAACAGAAACTTCTTGTCTTCCCAGCCTAGAGAGCCTTCTGAAAATAGAAAGAAGAGTTCTCAGAAGAATCTACGGACCTAGGAGAACACTTGAAGGATACAGGTTGAGGTCATAAGAAGAAATATATAAGGAAACAACAGATCTAGAAATGAGGCAAGAGTGGGAAGACTGAGGTTCTAAAGCCATATAATGAGGATGAATCCTGAAAGACAACCATAAAATCTTTCAGCGCATCCACAGTCATAAGAATTTAAACAGGTTAAGGATGATATAGACCAAATGGAGCTAAGAGACCAAGATTGTTTGGACAGAGATGAGTACAGGAAGGCGCTTAAGGGAATAACGGTTCTTGCGGGAAAGAAGAGCTCCAAAAAGGGTGTTGCGTGGTCTGACTAGAGAAAACGTAAGCACGTGGAGCTCATGAGGGGCATATGGGAGAAGAGGAAGCAGATGAAGAGGAAGCATTAAATGCCGTTCTTATTCCATCTTTCCTAAATTCATAGAAAACTCTTTTAACCGCTTTTCAATATCACCTCCGTTCAACTCAAAATTATCATATTCCGCTTTTAAATTTAAAAAATCTTTGCTTAACCTAAAAATCTGCGAAACCATTCAAAATATTAATTTTCTCCACAAGCAAATTTCAGTTCTCACCCAATTTTTAGATCATAACATCACCCAAGAAGACGTTAATAATCTCTCCGTTTGCATTTCCATTATCTTTAATTCCACTAAAGCACAGAAGAAACTTATACTAATTTCCAAGTTCAATAATTTGTACCAGGTCACTCTTAAAAACAAAGTTTATCCTGCAGGAAAAGAAGAATGGGTAGACAATATCTCTTCCACTGACATCCCCTCCAAAGTTACTAATATTTTAATGAAGAGAAGAATAGTTGGGGTGGTCAGTCAAAAAGGAAGGCAAAAATAAATGAAAATATTTATTTTTGCCTTCCTTTTTGACTGACCACCCCAACTATTCTTCTCTTCATTATCCACGACAGTCAACCAATTACCAATTAGTAATATTTTAAGTTTAGGACCTAATTTTTCCACACCCAACATAAAATTATTCCACAACTTATCACTGACCTCGAATATATTTACGCAGACGATTTTTTCACCACTTCAAAAGAAAATAAGGAGTTGTCACGCGTTTCCATCTGTAATATTATTTCCAATTATCTCTTACACCCACCGCTCTCCTCTTCTTCTTTTTCTCCTGAATTTTTCAAAGACCTCTCTTTTACCCAATCCTTCTTAAAATCCCATGATAATATAATCATAACCAGAGCTGATAAAGACAAGAAAACAGTAATTATGGACTGTACAGAATATACTGACAAAATGACTTTACTCCTATCAAACCGTTCCACTTACTCTCCTACATCCCGTGATCCCACCTCATCATATATATATATATATATATATATGCATGTATGTATGTAAGTATATAAGTGTACATTGCAAGGCTTTGAAAGTCTGAAATATGAAGATTTGATGCGTTGTTTTGGAGTTATAAGCGAAAAAACTAAACAACTTCCAAAATTTTATGTTTATTTCCCATTTTTACGGTGTAGCCATAAATGAATCAAGTCGATAACTAGATTTTCAGATTCAGCACCCCAAAAAACATATAGATCTGTCGAGAAAAATTCTTCAGCAATTTTTTTCTGTCCAAAAAATCCAATGTATAATTTTTAATTTTTGAATTTTTTATTCATAAAAAATTTATGTAAAAACAAACAACTCAAAATATATAATTATCCATTAAATGCACTCTTTCAGTAGTAGTAAAAGGATCTTCCCTCGTGTGATCTGCTGGTTTCCAAAATAATATGACACACTTTGCCAAAAATGAGTTTTCCTGTTAACATGCCTATGATTTGTGTCATAAATTTAAATTTACAATTGTAATAATTTAATCATATCATGATACAATATGGTAAAATTTGATCAAGCTCTGATATTAAATCAATTAAAAAAAAAAAAATACTCTAACAAGAAAAACTACAAATCAATTTTCAAACATTCAACATAGATTTGACATAAACTGAACACAATGGAGGTACCTTATTTTCCAAGTGCCAGTCTTAGCCTTTGCGAACATTATGCTTTGAACCATGATTTTTTTTCTAAAACACCAGGTAATAAAAGCTTCATGGTAAAAATTATAGCAGTCATTTTTACTCTAAAAATTAAAAAAAAGATATATATTATTTCAAATAATTATACATATCTAACAAAAAATATTACATTTCTTACTTAAAGATCACATCTGACATAATTAAAACATAATAAAATTAAAAATAATTACAGCCTTACAATAATGCTAAATTAATCAATAATCTCTCAATAATTTTCTTTAGATCACATAAATATTTAAACATTGATATTTGAAAGTAATAATAACACATAAGAACGATATAATATTTATACATTTATATATATATATATATATATATATATATATATCATTAAGAACACAAAGAAAAGACATCTGATGTCAATAAAATAAACTCATTAATTATTGAAAAAGTAGTACAATATGTAAAAGGAAGAAAGAAAAACAACTGTTATTATTCTGGGACAGACGCACTCTTAGAATAAATTATTATTACATTTCAAGTTAAATCGGAACAATTTGGTCATATTGTCTTTGACTTAATTTGATAAAAAAAGGAAACAGATAATAACAAAAACAATACAATCTCCTTTGAGTATAGAAACATTTTCAAATAAATGATATAATGATATATATCCTTACATTATTCAAACTGGATGAAAAAAAGGAGGGATTCGAACAAGGAAGCCATGGGTGTATGATGTATGGCCAGTGAGATAGAGTTGCAGAGCTGCTGTCGGCTACTCGAAATAGGAAGGCATTATCGCATGCAGTAGTTCAGTGGGGAAAAAGAATTGAATGGAAGTATTAAATTGCAGACTCTGTATAATGTAGGAGGTATGCAGAGTTCTAATTACCTAATAAGAAGGACATTAAAAAATACTAACGCTTGCAGTTGGCTACTATAACTCTTATGTAAATCGAGGTTAAATAAGTATCCCGAGAAGTAGCGATCTCGAAAGCAAATCTAATCCATTATAAGTCTTTAGGTCTTACTTCAAGTTCACAAGGGAGTCCACCATATACCAGTCCGCCATAGTCAAAATGGGAGAAAATAAGGAAGGAAACTAAGAGTTGACAGTTTTTGAGTGGAAAGAGATAAAGAGATAGACTTCCCAAGCACTTAATCCACTGATATCTTCCTGCAGCTTCTTGATAGTATTAGTGGGATCAACAGAGATATAAGTAGTCATTCTAAAGATTTCGATGGGTTTGACAGAAGGAAAATTCTAAGGAAATCATTAGGGGCTGCTGGGTGAATTTCCAGGAATTAGAGAAGGTAGCGTTTTGAATTCAGTCTAGTAGATATGATAAAGCATCGGAAGAATGGAAGGAATTGAATTTTCAATCGATTTGACTGGAATATTACCAGTGCATACTGGATTTTCGTGCAGTAAAAACTGAAAAATGTGCGGTAAAAAACTCAAAATGTGCAAAACCATGTAGGAAAATTAAAATTATATAATAAACACCTAAAAACCTTCAAAAACTTATCTATTTTGTTAATTCTTCTTCTTTTTTTTTCTTCCAACCATTTGCCTTTCAGCATGGGATGCTTCAAGTCATCGGTCCCATCCGTATCTGTCTCTGGTAAGGTTCCTTATTTCTCGTAAGGTCGTCCTCTAGGTCTTCTTAATATCGGTCTTACCGCCATGGTTTCAATTGGGTTTCTATGATGGCTCATGTGGCAGACATGTCCATAACACCTCAGTTGCCTCTTCTCAAGGGTTTCTGTTACCGGGCATACATTAAGCTCTTCCCTAATCCTCTCATTTTTCACATAGTCCCTCAGAGTTTTCCCCACAATTGTCCAAAGAAATTTCATTTCCGCAGCAGTAATACGGCACAGTAGCCTCTCATTCGTAATCCAGTTCTCCGCTCCATAGAGAAGTACTGGTAGGAAGACAGACCTGAATAAGTGGAGCTTTACGTTCTGTTCTACTTCCCTTTTTCAGATCACCAAGTTACCGATCTGGTAGTAAACGGAATTAGCCTTGGAGATTTTACTTGAGGTTTCCAAATCCACTTCACCAGATCTACTGATCACCGTACCCAGAAATATGAAGTCTATCACAAATTCTATCGATTCTCCACTACAGGTAATCTGGACATCGTCTTGAGTTCTACCAACTTCAAGAACCTAGGTTTTTGTGGAATTAATAGTCATATTAATTCTTTATAATAATTTATAATTCTTTTATTATAATTCTATTATAATTCTAATTTTTTTATAATTCTTTCTTTTCAGTTCCTCATTCCATTCTTTTACTGCCTGCTGAAGTTGCTCTGGGGATTCTACAATGAGCACGATATTGTTAGCAAACAGGAGAAACTGTATTACTATACAATATAGGTTCCATTGGCCCATGTACATTCTGGGTGTGCGTTTTTTGCAAAAGGAGGCAATCTCATCCATATATATACAATGAGGAGAAAGGGGCTAAGAGAGTCACTTTGTTTTACTCCCTTTTCCAAGCCAAACACTTCTGATTCTTGTCCAGTCAGACACACTACACCCTTTGGCTCCTGATACATTGATTTTATGGCATTTAAGAACTTTTGAGGAATGTTTTTTGTCCTTAAGGATTCCCAAATTTCTTTCCGAGGTACTGAATCTAACACCGCCTTCAGGTCTAAGAATGGCAGATAGACGTTCCAGCCATGTTTCCAGGACTTCTCTATCACGTTCCTCAGGGTGAAGATCTGATCCTACGTTTGCCTCTTGGGCCTAAAAGCACTTTGTTCTTTCTGGAGAATAGGCTCCACCATTGGTCTTAACTGGTTTTCTAGAATAGAAGTGTATAATTTGTAAAGCACAGGAGACAGGCAAATAGTTCTGTAGCTGGAGTAATCATGTCAACTTTTTTTATTGTAGATGGGGATTATAACATTAAATCCAAACCCTTTGGAAGAACTTTTGTAGAGCTCCTACTAACTCTGGTCCTTTTATATTGTGTCGGCCTGCTGCTTTCTCTGTCTTCATCTTCGCAATAGCCTTTTCAGTCTTGTTCTCTTCAATCGGGTCATTTTCTTGATCCTCCGTCTCCCCCTTCAGGATAATCTCTTCCTTACGGATTGCCCTTAAACTGTCTTGAGTAATACCTATGCCAGGTATCCAAGACCTCTTTCTCCTCTGATACCACCTCTCTTTTTTCATTCTTTACGTTTATGTTTCTTATTTGTTTGGGCTTCCTGCCTCTGAGTGTTTTTATTTTCAGCCAGAAGAGTTTAATATTTTCCCTACGTTCATTATTGAGAGATCCGTCAAACTCAACCAATGCTTTTCTTTTAGCTTCTCTCACTGCCACCTTAAATCTGTTTCTTGGGCCTTTGTACTGTTCATAGCTGCTTCGTCTTCTTTCAAAACATTGTAAGTTATTGGAAATAGAGAAAAATTGAATGTAATAAGGACGATGCATAATATAGGCAATAATGGATTTAATCCTACAGATCTCAAGGAAAGATTGACAAAAAAAAAAGGAAAAATAAGAAATAATAGACATACAGGTAGTGTGGAATAAACAGAAATTAAATTTAAAAAAATAAAAATAGAGACTTATGGTTGTATGCAGTACGGACATTTTATTTGGTTTGATCAGATTTTAATGTATTAATATAATAAATTAAACAAAATAGATGATTTTTGCACGTTTTTAGGTGTTAATTACACAATTCTAAATATTTTGGGTTTTTACGACAAAATTTTGTTCGTTTTGAATTTTTTACGGCATGTTTTTTAGATTTTTACTACATGAAAAACCGGCCTCTAATTATCACGCTAGTAATCATTGGTATGGACTTCTGGATGGAATTAAGAAGATCAATAGGAGTGAAGTGGGGAGGGGGAAAATGGTCAGGGTTACAGAAGAGATAAATAGGGGCCAAAGTAGGTGTGGTAGATAGGGAAGAGAAAGGGCTAGATAAAGTGACTGTTGAGGTCATCAGTAGATATAGAAATAGATAACTAAGGATAATATATGGAGAACTAGTCACTTGGTTTCGGAATTAGAAGTGCTGTAGGGATTGATGGAAACAAAGCGATTTTGCATGGTGTACAGTGGATTAAGAGCTGTTTTGAATGAGTTTAAGTGTGGCATAATCTTCTGGGAGCTGAGTGCATTTAAACCTTTACCTTGCCACATTTCTTCGTTTCATATTCTCCCTTGGGATTCAACCAAGGGGCAGGATAATGTGAAAGTGAGCGGTTAGGGTTTTAACCATTGTGTTCATGGAAGATGAGAAAAAACTGAGATCCGAGTGTCAACATTGGGCATCATAAGTGAAAGAACTGAGGTTTTGGAAAGATACAGTTTAGGAACAGAGATATTTTAGGAAATCTGGATAAGATAATTAGCAGATAGGAATGGAATTGGCTGTTGTATTGAGGCCAGGATATTATTAGAGAAATTCCGAATACAGAGGTCAAACCAGAAATCTGAATTACTGTGATGGGTAAGGTTGAAAGGGACGTCATAAAGGCTATCTGTCCCTTAAGAATAACAAAATGTTACAGAACAAAAGAATACTTCTGGCCAAGAGAACTACATTAAATAAATAAAATATCTTATGTAAGCTAACAAAATATACAAAACAAACTGATGAAACAGTATACGGAATGCTTCGACCTATATACAATTATAATTGTGTATAAATTACTCTGTTAAACTTTGCTCTGACTGATCCATGATTCAAAATGAAACTATAGGTTTATGATAACTTAAATATGCAATGATTGTATATTCTCATTATTTTAGTTGTTGTAAAGGGTGGTCTCAAAGAGTACTCCATGGAATTGATAGATCACTCTGAAGAGTACAGGGGATGAGATTGTACAGATATAAAATATATAAATCTAAGATGTAAAAATTAAATAAAGATCACACAATGAACAGCCAAAATAAAGTTGTTTATCATAAATTTATACACGGTGGGCCAGACCCCCTTGCCGTGCACCCCCCCCCCCCCCCCCACATCCCTATAAATTGCATATAGTTGTGTTCCTTGTAACTATTTATTAAAAAAAAAGCCAATGTTCCCACAAAAAAAAGTGAACGCACTGCCCCAAAATGGCGTCCAAACATGGTGGATTGAGGACTTTGACTTGAGTTAGGTTTTTGGTCACTGAGAATCAGCATTTGCCTTAATTTCCTCATAGTTGGTCTTTTATTAAAGCTGAATAGTCAAAGAATAATAAAAATGAAGAAATATTAAAAAATAATTGGCTTAGGCTATGAGAAACACCAGTGAATTCAACTTTTTTAACAAAAAAAATTTCAAGTTAAAAATCAAGCATCGTTTGTAATTAAACAGCCTACAATAACGCAAAATGTGCTGAAATAAAACATCTGGAGAATATATTTCTCTTTCCAAAACGCTGATTATTTTCTAAAAACTTGAACTAATATTAATGCAATAATTTAATTGTAAAAAAAAAAAAAATTTTAAATTTATTAATATTTTTTTTAAAATTTAACTTCCTTTATTCTATACATAGGTCGTTTAAGAAGACCTCGATTGTAAAAATGATGTCTTGTATTAATTGTTTATTAAATTTTAAATTGGTCTATAATCGTCTTATCTTTTTATTTACATTCAAGGAATTGCTGGGTTATATATGTGTGCGATGTTGTATTGAGTTCCTGGTGTTTAGAATTTAAAAAGGAAAAGAAATTTTTTTTTTTTTGTCTTGGGGAAATGTTTATTATGCTATGTCTATTGTTTAATATGGTTTATATTAAACAATATGGTCTTCTTAAACGACCTACGTATAGAATAAAGGAAGTTAAATTTTAAAAAAAATATTAATAAATTTAAATTTTTTTTTTTTTTGACAATTAAATTATTGCATTAATATTTGTTCGTTAATAAAACCAATATAATGTACCAAAAATGTTATTATATCACTTTAACTAAGCCATTTATGTGTACTGAATGGTGTGGTAGACGCCAGTACCGCTTTTCTGCCTCATAAGTGCATTTTCTACGGAACTGTTTAAAAGTTTTTAAAAAATAATCAGCGTTTTGGAAAGGAAAATATATTCTCCAGATGGTTTATTTCAGCATGTTTTGCGTTATTGTAGGCCGTTTAATTACAAATGACGCTTGCTTTTTAACTTGAAAATTTTTTTGTTAAAAAAATTGACTTTAGTAGTGTTTTTCATAGCCTAAGCCAATTATTTTTTAATATTTCTTCATGTTTTATTATTCTTTGACTATTCAGCTATAATAAAAGACCAACTATGAGGAAATTATGGCAAATGCTGATTCTCAGTGACCAAAAACCTAACTAAAGTCAAAGTCGTCAATCCGCCATGTTTGGACGCCATTTTGGGGCAGTGCGTTCACTTTTTTTTGTGGGAACATTGGCTTTTTTTTAATAAATAGTTACAAGGAACACAACGATATGCAATTTATAGGGATGTGGGGGGGGGGGGGAGAGGTGCACGGTAAGGGGGTCTGGCCCACAGACTATTATATATAACCTGTTTTGAAAATAATTTTTTCATCTTTTCTTTAACAACAGTTATATAGTTAAGTATTTTATTATTACTATAAAGTCCAAAATTAATGTTTTTAACTTCATATATGAACTTTTTTTTTTAATCACTAACTTCTTTAGGCACGCTTAGAACTTTTTTTGTGGGTAGTGAATGAGACTGAGTCATCACACTCGGCTATGTAATCTAATGCTGATTTGGGTAAAGTTGGCTAGAGTTGACTTATTTTTGCATTTGGATTAAAATATCTCAGAAACTAAAAATTGGACCTGCATATTGTAAGTGAGGGAAATGTTCAGCATTTCTTCCTCTTTGTGATGAGCTATTATGCAAATGTATCTTGACATGATACCGTGTTAGAGAGGCAAAAAAGGAAAATGATAGTGTCCAAAACCAAATATTAATTAATTTCATACTAAATATTGTCATATTAAATATGACAAATCATACTAAAATAATGAGAATATACAATCATCGCATATTTAAGTTATCGTAAACCTATAGCTTCATTTTGAATCACGATCAGTTAGATGAAAGTTTAACAGAGTAATTTATAAACAATTATAATTGTATATAGTTCGAAGCATTTTGTATACAGTTTCATCAGTTTGTTTTGTATATTTTGTTAGCTTACATAAGATATTTTATTTATTTAATGTAGTTCTCTTGGCCAGAAGTATTCTTTTGTTCTGTAACATTTTGTTATTCTTAAGGGACTTTGTCCCAGAATAAAGTTATTTCTCTATTCTATTCTAAACATTGTAAATATCATTACTTTTTTAATATAGTACAAAAAAAATATTTCATATTATTAATCTCCCCTTGTTGAAGTTTTCACCAATATCGTGTGCTCTTAAGCACACAACATAGGTTTTAAATTTTATTTTTTGTAATGTTTCCAGTTTAATTATACATTGATGGAATGCAATTTATATAAATATTGACTGCATATCACGATTATTTTTCATCATTACAATATCAACAGTCAACTATACATTCATCTCTAAAGTTTGCTCTTTTTATTTAATTAATGATGCAATAGCTATGGATAAAAATGTGTAATATAAATATTAAATAAGATATTTACAATGTTGAATATGAATTCCAAATTATAATGAAGATCTGAGGATTTATTTTTATTTGAAATATTTAAAAAAATAAAATAAAATAGTATGTTTAATGTTAAATGTTAGTGTACGATTGACTATTAAACATTTGAATAATACATAATATATAATAAGCCCGACCTTTCCTCTGTGCTCCTTAGATATTATGAATGGAGAATACCTTGGCAAATGCTCTGTATTACATAAGATGTACTTTTACTGAAATTAATAATCCCTTTGCAAAGAGAGTAAAATTGTAGTAGGCTCTGAGGATAGGCATGGCTGATCAAGCAGGTATTATTAGTTGCTAACAATACAAGGTAATTATTACTAATGTCTTTTTTATGATGGGTTTAGAATTACTTTTGGATTATCCAATAAATAAATAAAATTGTAATTAATGTTGATTAATTAGAAAACTTGAAAAACCGATTTTAATGAAATTAAACAATTATTTTGTACATATATTGGATAATGCTAATCATTTAAAGATGAATAAATGGGTATCACTGATGTAATCATCCCAATAATTATACTTGATTGGATCTTGAGAATCACAGATCAAATTTAGCCACTCTCTTTCTATCTAGTGGTTTGTTTTTTATTGGAATATTACAAAGGTTGTCTGATACTTGATTGGACGAATTACTGATCAAATGTAGCCATAGCCTAAATTGTAAATTATACTCTGTTTAATAAGCAGAAAATGAAAATGCATTCATTAATTGAGAATCACCTTTCATATATTATATAACTATAACATCTTTTACATAAAATAAATAATTGCACAATATTTTAGGTTATTAATATATAACTTCAATATCAAACTTTACTCACTATGGCAGGTGGAGAATGAATGTATGTTCCAAGTGTTGCTGAAGCTATGAATTCCATCAGCTCAGAATAAGGAACAAGTCCATGACAAGAATGTGGGTGAAATTGGCTACCAACATGTAAAAATGACACAGTGACTGCATTACTTCTCAGCTGTGTTAATACAGAATCGAGAACATGAATATCAGGTAGTGTAATCATTCCATCAGTAACAACAATCAAATCTAAAACAAGAAAAAATTATGAATAGATTTATTATGTATTCAGCAATAGAATGTTATAAATTTCATAAATGTAGCTTTCATTTTGAAATTTGTAATTAAGATTCAATTATTAAATTATTTCTTATCTTTGTTTTTTAAACTTTTATATTATATATATATATATATATATATATATATATATATATATATATATATATATATATATATATATATATATATATATATATATATATATATTTTTTTTTTTTTTACTTTCACTTACCTATATATGAAATATATAGTAAGGGAAAGTATTGCGATCGTGAAAATTTTTTAATCTGAGTTTTCAACGGAAATACACATTTTGAAGTCCCCTGATCAATATATAACCAAGTCTCGCAAAATGGTCTGTGTGTGTGTGTGTGTGTGAGTATGTCTCTGTGTGTGTTAACAGTCTAGCGCAAAAACGAAAAGTCGTATGAAAGTGAAATTGCATATTTAAGGTTTTTATATGCTCGGGATGTTACAGCAATTTTCGTCAATATCGGCTAACCGGAAGTAGCACTTTATATAATGGACTAAACACATTTTTAAGGTTTTCTCGAAAATGGCTCCAACCATTTTGATTATATTCAACATATCAGTGTAAAATTAAGTAGATTTAAATAAAATTTTGTTTTTATTCTGATTGATGTTCTGTAACAGGGCTTAAATGGCTAATTTTTAATATTAGCTTCCTCTAAAGTACCTTTGATTTTTTTTAGTTGAAATAATAGACCACTTCATATTAATTTCTAATATAAAAGATAGTTAAATATAAAATATGAAAGAATTTGATAATTAATTACAGGAGAATTAAGATATCGTAACGAAGAATGATTGTAATTGAGGGACCAAAGGTATACAAGCTCACCTGAGCCCGCCCGAAAGATTAGAACACGCTTCCATACGTAACATGAGCTTAATATAATAAGATCTCAGACAATATTATATAGAATAGAATAGAATAGAATAGAAAAATAATTTTATTCTGGGACGAAGTCCCTTCAGAGTAACAAAAAAGTACAGAAATTAAAATTTTATACTATATAATATAATATAATAATAATATATTAAATAATAATAATAATAAAATAATATATATTTTATTATATATAATATAATAAGGACACAGTATAATAAGGACACCAGCTCACTCAGGTACAAGGACAGTGACAAATTGGTCTAAATCCATGGATTATGACTGCTCAGAGTCAGCAGATGCACGAGGACCTATATTTCTTTCTCCCAAACAGACTGTCCATCGACCGAACCTCAGGGGGACTACTAACATCCTGGTAGACCACATCCTGATTCCTGATTAAGTACACAGAATAGGGTCATCAGTCCTACGCCTGGTTGGTGTAAGTTGCCTTCAGTAGGCTGATGGGTCTTACATAGCTGGGGGGGAGAGACTCAGGCAGCACGGCTTTCCCTGGTGGACAGTCACGCAAATCGGGGGGTCACTCATTCAAGTACTTACCACGCTTGACGTTGCTTAACTTTGATTACCTACTGCAAGCCCCTTAGCCCTTATGGGTACCCCAGCCCCCTATATATATATATATATATATATATATATATATATATATATATATATATTATAATAAGGATAATAATTTTTCACATATACAAAGGTGTTTATAATATGTAATCGTCGGGGACCTGTTAAGTCAGCCAAAAAAAGGATAATAATAAAAAGATAAAGAACTTTTCAAAATTAGGTTGTGAAATGTATTCAAGGCTCAGGTAACTGGGAAACAAATTCAAGGCCATCAAGCTTGCCGCAAGCAGGAAGTGGCCCTATGACAATATTTTCTCTCATAAAGAACAGGGGTTTATCTCAAAATTTCAAGAATGGATTCAGGTGTAACTGCACTTAATCTGAGTAAACATGATGGCTCTACAGTTGTATCAGAAAATGAACGGTTGACAGAGTGGAAAACCAAATCACTGCATGGGAGTCTCCCTCCCCTCTCACGGCTATGTGAGACCCGTCAGCCTACTTGAGGCAACTCACACCAACCAGGCATAGGACTGATGACCCTACCCTGTGTACTTAATCGGGTATCGGGATGTGGTTTACCAGGATGTTAGTAGCTAGCCCCTTGAGGTTCGGTCGATGGACAGTCTGTTTTGGAGAAAGAAATATAGGTCCTCGTGCGCCTGCTGACTCTGAGCAGTCATAATCCATGGATTTAGACCAATTTGTCACTATCCTTGAACCCGAGTGAGTCGGTGGGAAGGACACTGCCAGATTGGCCCCAAAGGGATCAGCTATGGAGCTACGGGTGGCCTGTCGCTGCACCATGAGGTTGAGTGACCCCCTCCAGGCTATCTGAGTCCCCGAAAGCATTCAATATACTTACTATAATATATATTTCTAGCAGTTTCAGAGGAGAATCATTTTATTAAAAATTTACAATACATGTTGTATCAGGGAGAAATGTAAGTAATTAATAGATGAAATAAACAACAATGAATAGTCTAATAAATCATTAAGAAGTTAACAATTTTAGAAGCGACAGTTCTTTTGAATTATTTTTAAATTTAAACTGTGTATGAATATTTGTATATTTAACTATTATTGTTATTGAAGGTAAAGTTCCCAATGTTAAAGTCATAAACATTTTGAATCCACACAATCAATTTCCCAGTATATATATATACTTGTACTAACTGAAGAAGAAGAAACTACGTTAAATTTGTTACAACACTTTCATATTACACATTAATGTTTCAACAATCATATTTGACATAAATCTTACTTGATAAATTACAGTTGGGTAAAAGTCTTAAGGCAAGCATTCCATAGCGAAGTAAGTTGATAAAGCCTGAATCTGGGCCAACCATTGATACACTACAAAGAGGCATTGGCTTCTCTAAAATTTCTTCGAATAAGCCACCTACTAAACGTTCAGATTCCGCCTGTAAAAAAAAAAATGAATAATATAGAGCCGTGTTGATAATCCAAAATAATTATTACAAGAACCAGTTTGGATTATTGAAAATTCGGATTATTAGAGATTGATAATTACGTATATATATACATGTAAAACATTAATGTACCCAACATCGTGTTAATAGAAAATAATTTAAAAAATATATAAAAATTTAGATGAAAAATAAAAATATATGTTAGGACATACAAATTATATGATTTCAAATTAAAAAATAAATAAATAAGGTAGCATATGTAAAAAAAAAGTAAAAATATTTATTTATGCTGAACACCATTGACACTTCTACAGTTGTCATGATCAGTAATTTAGACACAAATTTCATTTATAATAAATTGTAGAGGTTTATGATTACTAGCTGAGTATACATTAAATAAAATATATTCCTCAAATCAGAAAAGGCAAGAAAGTCACACATTTTATGGAAAATTAACAATTTTAAATAATAATAAAAGGCTTAGCGAACCCGAAGGTTCGATGCCGACACCACCAATCGCTTATTACACACCTCCCTCCACCGTTCGCCGTCCAAACCTAGTCCCTTCAGATCGGCTTTAATGCAATCTTCCCACCTTCGCTTCGGTCTACCCCTCGGACGTTTACCATTCGGTACAGCAAATATTAACCTTTTAGGAATTCTCTCGTTACTAAGCCCAACAACTTTACAAGCCCATTTGATTCGCCGCGATGAAATCACCTCAATTATATTACCCGGATACAGTTCACGCAATTCGGCGTTGTGTAACCGTCTGAACTCTCCGGTTAATTCATCCTTCTTCGGTCCGAATATTCTACGCAATACTTTATTTTCAAAAACCTTAAGACGCTGCTCATCCCTTAATGTAAGCGGCCACGTTTCGCATCCATAAAGAACTGTAGGTAAGATAATGGTTTTATAGATTCTAATTTTTAAGTTCCGGGACAAGAGGCGCGAGCTAAGTAGTTTTGTCACAGAAAAATAACAAGCATTTCCCGCCTTCAGTCTAACCTTAATCTCTTCTTCAATTTTGTTTTTTCTAGTTATCGTAGACCCTAGATACCTAAACTTCTCTACCTGTTCAAACATATTACCATCTATATCGATATCACCAGTAATATCGCCATTTTTGCAGCTAACCATATATTTTGTCTTATCCGTGTTTATTTCGAGCCCTAGTTCTTTACTGGCATTCATTAACGTTGTTGTATTTAGTTTTATAGTTTCCACGTCTTCGCTTAACAGTACCAGATCATGCATATCCCAGCACAGATGTTGTCCCACCCAGATCCAACCCTTTTTCGGTATGCATTTCCTCCCTAATGGCATCTTCTAATGCCAAATTGATGAGGACAGGCGAGAGGGAATACCCCTGTTTTAAACTCAAACGAACCTCAAACTTTTCAGACAGATTATTACCGATTCTAACTTTATAGAGTGTTTCCGTCAAGCACATCCTGACTAGATTTACTAGTTTTTTTGGAATCCCTTGCTCGATTAGAATATTATACAGTTTCTGAGGGTCAATAGAATTGTAAGCCTTTTTTGATATTGATATACAGCTTGTTGAACAATACCGTCATACACTAATTTTTTCTCTAATATTTGCCATAAAGAAAATATTTGATCAATAGTCGAACGATTCCGTCTAAATCCGCATTGGTAGTCACTGATAATTTCCTCTGCACATTCCGTGATTCTAATAGTTAAGATTAAAATGAATATTTTATAACATACCGGAAGGAGCAAAATTCCTCGATAGTTATTACAATCCGTCCTCGGCCCTTTTTGTGAATCGGAATAAGAACAGATTCTTTCCATTCTTCAGGTAATTTCTCATTCTCCCAAATCTTTTTAACCAACCGATGTATTTTAGAAACTCCAGCTTCCCCCATGCCTTAATTAGTTCAGTAGGTATATTATCGGTTCCCGCTGCTTTATAAGATTTTAATTTTCCGATAGCTACTTCAACTTCCTCTTTACTCGGTTCTTCTATTAACGGTTCAGCACTCTGGTACTCAGAAGGAGGACACAGATCATAATTTCCTGTATTTAAAATATTGTTAAAGTGGTTCTTAAACTTATTTAATATGTCAACGGGATTGGTCAGAATATTGTTATTTTCATCCCTAATTCCAGATGTAACGGGCCCTAAACATTTACATGATCTGTTTAGACTGCTTTAGGGGATTCATGGCGCAGGTTGAAAAATAGGGATTTAAATAATCCTGTATTAAATGTGTCAACATAACCTATGCCACTGTAATGTCAATAGTCTTAGGATCAGTACTTCTATACACTATTTCTTGACTAACAGTCATTCACGGAGGTGATAGGGTTAGTATCCATGGTGAACCACCAGGTCTCCCTGGTCCAAACCTGATCCAGATCCAAAACTGAACTAAATTTTTACCACAGCTATGCTCAAACTTAAACTAGAGAGTTAAGGTTTCAGTGCAATAACCACTGAGCTACTCCACTCCATATACAAGGAGATTGTCCTGTAAATAAAGGGGTGAAGTTTAAATTAAATTTAAAGAGATGAAAGTAGGCATCAAGAGCTTAAAAAAACTTATATGGACAATGGTTTGATGTTCCACAAAAAAAATCCTAGAAAATTGAAGTTTTCTGGTTTTTAAGTAAGTCAGGTTTTTTGTTGATTTGAAAGCAATAATTATGGAAATATTTACTTTAGGTAATTTATAATTGTTTCATGATAAACTAAAAATAAATCCTCAAATAGAAATAGAGTTTGTTAGAGTTGCTTATTAAAACCATTTAAAATTAAAAGGCACTTTTAAGTGGCTAAACTACGCTAAGTTAAATATAAAACCATGGATTGTCCATTTTTTTTTATCACCCTACAACTGCACTACAGATATCCCAATTTTGTAAAAACTTCCTTGCTTAAAATGGATTAAGCTTATATTAATTAATTTGAGGTTTGACATCAAAATAATATGAGATTCACCTCTGGTTATTTAAAAAAATTATGTGATTTTACTTTTTTTAACCCTAGAGTACCCTTGTTAAAATAGCAAAAATAATTACAGTAAATTATTATAAAGCTTTGATTTCTTTAGAACTGGGATTTATTATAATAAAATTAACAACTTTCTATTTGCTTTTTAAAAAAATTATTATCAATGATGGTGGATAATTGTTTACTGTTGGAAGACATTATTGAAAAGAGGTTGATTGGGAATTGTAGTCATTGGAAGTACTAAGAAAAAGTATAATTTATTTTTACTTTGTACTTTCAATGACTCCAATCTCCAATCAAATTCTCTTCAAAAATTTATTATCAATAGTGGCAGTGTTTTTTTTTTACTCAGATCACTTTTATTGGAATTGATCCTTATTGTATTAAGTAATCAACTACATGTTTCTAATCATATGCACAATCTCATACTGATTATGTAGATTCTGTCATGATGAGAATGAAACAGCCTTTCACATTGTCTGTCAGTGTGAAAGGTTTAGGTTTGTTAGGCTTAGGCTCAAGCTTTTTGGGGAGACCGAGTGGCAGACTCCAAAAGCTATGAGCTAACCACCCCTAACCACCCCTAGCTAACCACCCCTAACCACCCTACAAGCCAATTAAGATAAGCAGAAGTGATGAAACTAATGTTTTAACATAAAACAGGTTAGAACATAGCGCACAATAGACCCTTGTGGTTGTGGTGCATGTTGCCAACAAAGAAAAAAAAAAAAGCAGCCCTGGACCATGATCAGCAGTCACCAGCAGAACCAGAGAGAATGGCCAGTGGCGTGTTTAATCAACAAATATCTTGAGGGTTCGACAATCATATATGTATAGGATTTGACTTTGGCATTAGGAATGTAAAGAATCTGAACAATAAGCGAACTGAAGTACAGAGAGAAATTGAATTGTCAGCACTACGCCTGGTGATATTGACCGAAATGAAGATCAAAGGAAAAAAACAGAAACTACTTGGAGAATATGTATATATTCTGGTAAAAAAGAAGCTAAGGTGAAAAATAACCCAATGTGAGGTGATTCCAGAGAGGCTTCTGCAGGCGGACTTTGTCTTGGGTGTAAAATCATTGTTCTTGGAATCCATAAACATAAGCCCAGAGCTATCTTAAGGAAGGTGTGTGACAATGATGAAATTATTCATTTGGCTAACTTCATCTTCGACAAAGGAATTGGAAGCCGAGTGGTTGGACGGCATGGAGAGAAGATTATGGTGAGGAGGAGCCTGTATGGTTCTAAAGAAGTTGTGCACACCCAGAAAGAGAAATATTCTCTCACTGATTAGTGACAGACCTTGGAAGGTGAGCTTTGAAGATATTCTTAGGGAGAGCAGACCCCAGTTTATGGCGGAGGAAAGAAGGACCAAAACGTCGGTTGTTAACTCAACGTTGACCATAGAGGAACTGTCTCAAGCTCTGAAAGATTCTGAGAAGGCAGGATCTCAGTGGAGCTGGAGGTAATAAGATGATGAGAATTCTTCTTGCATTAATTAACCTTGTACTGAGAGGTGACGGATTACATGAGGATCTATTGGACAAGTTTTATATAGCACATTTTCAAGGAAGACAACTGGAAGGAGTGTTGAAACCACAGGGGTATTTGTGTGGAGAGTTCAGTGAGAAGAATGATAGGAAGGCTTCTCCAAGACAAATTAAAAGCCTCTTTTACTACCCCTCAGGAGAAGGGAGGGTTCACAGCAGGAGGTTTCTGTAATGATAGCATCTTTGTCCTCAATCAGCTCATCAAGAAATCTCAGGAAATGAACAGGAGCATCATATAACTTTCTTAGGCTTATGACAGCGTCCCAATAAGTAGAATGTAGACAGTACAAGGAGAGGCTGGCATACATGAGGGCCTAATAGAAGCAGTGAGACACATCAAAGACGACATTTACCGGGTGAAGTTCAGAAGCTGGCTGTCAGAGTCAGTTTCCTGGGTACTAAGGGTGTGAGACAGTGCTGTAGTATGGCACGAACCTTTTAAGATCTTTCTACACGTGTCTGTCAAGGAACGATATCGTTGGCATGGAGATGTGGGGCTATCAATAGGTAATGAACAGCTTGTCTTCTCTTTTTTTCTCCTATGATCAAATTATATTTACATGCAGAGAGGTGTTTTTATAGATGATGATGTGCTGTTAGGGAGCGGGGTGGCCGAATGGGCTAATGCGTTGTGCACAGCACCGTGAGTTGCCCGGCAACCAGATGACCTGAATATGTGATTAAAAAAGTACAAGTTCGCGTCCCGGTGCCAGAGGGGATTTTAATTCCTCGCCCTCACCCTCCGGCCCAGGAAAATCCCGTATAGCCTAAAAGGCGAGGTAGAGAAGAACAGAAAAATAAAAAAGATGATAATGTGCTCACTATGAGTCATTGGGGCTTAAGGTAAACTTCTCAAAGACCCTATACATGACCATCTGTGCTGAGAATGCCGGTGATCTCTGCATTGACTCTCAGAGGTGTTCAAGATTGGATGTTTTTAAATAACTGGGATTTTATCTTGACTTCTCTAGGTCTTTCAGAAATTGATGTATGAAAAAAGTGGAGCAAGCTTGGAAAGCCATATAATGTTACACTCTGCCTTGTGGAATGACACGATTCTGAAAGAAAACATATATATCATGCCATTGTAGCCAAAAGATATAGCATACCATCCTAACATATGCAGCTGAAACATGGACCATGTGTCCCAGCTCTACTCAAAGATTCAAGATGTGGAGATGGGTTTTTGTTGGAGATGCCTACGTGTGACAAGGATGGACAGAATTAGGAATGTGGTAGTTTGGGACAGGATGGAGGCCCCTGTGTCCATTAAACAGAGCATTGGAAGGGGGAGGATGATGTGGTACGGCCATGTAAGACAAATGTCTGTAGACGAAAAGTCGAAGTGAGTACTTGAATGGCAGGCACCAGGAAGAGGAGGATGGGGATAACCTAGAATAAGGTGGATCTACAAAGTGGAAGAGCAGATGGCTGGCCACATTCTACAACAGGGAAAAATGGCTCAACCGCAACCTTCGAGCTCAGCCCTGAAGTGAAACCCTTGATGGAATGCCTATATAATAATAATGAAAATAATTCTAGCAATTACCGCTTTGTTATTATTTTTTTAATAGAAATATTAATTTGCAATATAGAGATATTACCATAAATTGCTATTGATGACCTGTTGACAATAAAAGCTGCATTCGCATTGAATACTGAAGCATTGGAAAATTCAAGAAAAAAGCACTAATTTCGAAGGAGAATATTTTTTATTATTTACAAGAAATGGGATACTAATATTTATTTTCAAAAATAGCCATCATCAGGCAAATGAAAATCCACATGTCAAAAGACAGAGGACATCAATACCAATTTAAAATAATAGCTTATTGTTCTTAATTAACATTTCTTAAAAAAAGCCTAAGATTTCTTGAATGATTTTCACGAAAACATAATAGGGTTAGAAATATTTAGTTAGTCACTTCATAATATAAGAAGGATCAATTACCATAGAAGATCCGTGCTCAAAAATACTAGTGCGCTACCACTATTAATGATAAGTTTTTGAAAAAGCAGTGCATTTTTAAAAAATAAAATGTGTATTTTTGTAATTAATTTATTATAAAACATCCAAGGTCACAGGAAAAAAATAAATTAAAGCTTGAAAACACAGGTACTCTAGAGTGACAGAATATCAAATCACATAATTTTTTACTTAACTAAAGGTGAATTTCATTTTATTACAGTAACATACCTCAAATATTAATTAATTAATATGACCTTAAACCATTTTAAACAATATGGGAGAAAAGCACGATTTCATAACCATCTTACACGAAAAATCATTATTTTTCTAATTTATTTATTTATATAAATAAAATGTGTTTTTAGGCACTTATGTTTATTACAATACATCAGTGGCGGATCCAGGAATTTTCTCAGGGGTAGGGGAGTGAACCTCAGTACCAAATGCTTCCCCCACCACTACCCATCTCTCCCCACTCCTTAGCTGAAAGTCTTCTTTAAATGGTTTTAACCAAACTCTATTTTTATTTAAAGTAAATTTTGTCTAGTTTACAGTGAAGCAATCGTTAATTACTTAAATTAGATAGTTTTTTAGTAATCACTTCCTATTCAACAAAAAACATGACTTACTTTAAAAATTGGACCATTGTTTATATAAACTTTTTTTGTAGCTCTTGAGTTCTTATATCACTGCTTTAAACATTTCCCTCTACTTACGGGACACCCTGTACATGGGTTTAGACATGTAAAAACAAAATTGCAAATACAGGTCACCAAGGGAAAACTTTTTACAGGCAAAAAAAAGCCAGATTTATTCGATCTTTTTTCGCCTTTTTTTTTCTCATCTATTACTACTAAACAGTGCATCAAAGTGAAAAACGTATTCTTTAAGAAATAAAGAAAGTTAAATTATAGATCAAACAAATACCAATTATGGATGATTTTTACCAACTAAGTTTTATTCAAGCACAAGGAGATACGGTTTTTCTTCCGAAACCCAGTTTTTATTCAGTTTCAATAGATCTGGATGCATTACGATCTCCAGCAACTATAGTCTCCTTGAAGAATCCATGCAATTCATAAAACTGGTCACGATAATAATTTGCATATTTCTCATTAGAACGTGTTTTTCTTTTCTTAAAATAGCTAATGTGGGGAACTTTTTCATGAAGAAAGGTACTAATTACTTGGTCAGCGATATGATCGGAATCCAAATTTATTCTTTTTTTTCTTTTTTTCTTAGTTTTTTTTCTTAGAGAAATCATTTCCAAGCTGCAGGGCCATTTATAGTAATCTGTCTCAGATTTTGACTTCGTATCTCATGGCGGCCCAAAAACTACATCACTTCACCCTATGAGCCAACTTTTGCTCTTACATTCTATTCTTTGTTTCACAAAATCTTGCCATGCGCCAAAGGCAAGCTGATCCACAACCTGGTGAGGTGACCCGATATGACTAACCGTAAGATAAATAAAAATGGTCATGATAATAATTTTTTTAATATTACATTAGAAAATTTGTCTATGAAGATGAATTCCCCCTATATTTTGCTTTTCTTTAAATAGCTGTTTTTTGGAACTTTTTCAGAATATTTTGTCCACCATCCGGGGGAGGGGAGGCACCCCCTGGCAGAATACTGGAGTACTTAAACAACTTCAGTGCTCAAACCACGCCCTGAAGATGACCCACATGTTTGGGTTGAAACGTTGGCAAAAATAAAAATTTTTAAAAAATACTGCATCCTGAATATTTATCACCCATGATATGTAGAACAGTCGATTAACTTCCTTCAAGTATTTTTATATTAATTTAGAAAATTTGTCTACAAGGGTGAATTTTTTCTACATTTTTCTTTTATTTAATTCATTGTTTTTTGGAACTTTTTTTCTCACCATCCAGATGAGAGAGGGGTACACCCCACACCTTGATCCGCTAGTTTTGGATACGATAATATTTTTTTTTTATGTCACATTAGAAAATTCATTTTAGAGGATGATTTTTTCCTATATTTCTCTTTTCATTAAATAGCTGTTTTTTGGAACTTTTTTCACCATCCAAGGAAGAGCGTGCCTCCTGGCAGAATTTGCTTGTGCATGTCACGATAATAATTTTGTTTTTATATTACATTAGGAAATTTGTCTACAAAGATGAATTTTCCTATATTTCTCTTTTCTTTAATTAACTGCTTTTTGGAACCTATTTTGGAATTTTTTTCCAACTTGCAGGGGGGAGGGGAGAGGCACAATACATCTCATATCAAGGAATAAAAGCTTTGCAATAGTTAATTGTAATAATTTTTTCTGAAAACATAGGTATTTTTAGGTGACTGGATAGAAAATCACATTATTTCTTTACACAACTTATGGTGAATCTCAAAATTTTACCCTAATAAACCTCAACTTAATTAATATAGACTTAAAGCTTATAAAAACGAGAAAGTTTTTTTTCCAAAAGTGGGGTAAATGTAATACAGTTGAAGGGTGATTAAAAAAAAAATCACTAATAATTTATGACTTTTTTTAAATGGAACTTAGCTGTGTTTGTCGGCCCAATAGTCCTTTTTAAGTAGTTTTAACTATGACAAACTCTACTTTTGTTGAAAGTAAATTTAGTTACTTAAAACAATATTTAGTTACTTAAATCATATTTTTTTTTAAGTTGTCGCTTCCTATTCAATAAAAAACGTGACTCACTTTAAAAAAACACAAATCTTCAATTCCTACTTTTCTGCTGGAAATTGGACAATTGCTTATTTGAACTTTTTTGTAGATCTTGATTTCTAATATCAACCTTTTAAATATTTCCCTCTACTTATGGGACACTCTGTATATACAACACTACTCTTTTTTCTATAAATGGAAAAAGGAAATATTTATCAAAACATTTCATATGATATATGGAAAGGAATAACTACATACTTGTTTTAGTTGTGTGCTCTCTATTTCATCATGAACCAAACCAGAAACTTCTGCAATGGTATCCTCTAAAAGTTCCAATTGTTTTACAATAGCCGCCAAAAACTCTTCAACATTAGCTTCAGTTACACGCCAGCCTTGGACCAAAACCTAAGCATTTCATATACATTTGATTAATATTAAAAATTAATCTCTTGAATTGAGATAAAACAAATTGGAAAGATATTTGCATTAATTTCACTGCAAAAAGAAACCACATGAATGAACTTTGATTGACACACAAGATATCAAAATTATATTTTCATTTACATTACTTCATGAATTAATTTTAGGATTAAGAAATTATATTGTAGCAAGGTGTGTGGGTGACAAATATTATTAAGATAACCGATAACTGATTAAAATATAAAATATTTTATACTTGTATCTCATTATTATTCTGTTGTTCTTCAAGAATCTGGGGCCCTTTTGCAATATTTTTACAATTTGTTCCCTTCCACTGTCTAGGACTTTTCACTAGATGAGTTATTTTAATATCATCCAGCCACCTGTTTCATTGCTGGCCTCTTTGTCGTTGTCCTCCTGGCTTCTCATCCAAAAGCTTCCTAGGAAGTTCATTCTCAAGTATCCTTTTGATGTGTTCTGTCATCCTAATTAATATTTTTTAATAAATTTCACAATATCTTGTTCCTGGTACACATGTCAAAGTTTTTCCTTTATCCTACATCACCATCGTCCAGATTCACAGACAAGGTCCTCATCCTTGAGTACTTTTTATTCCTATGCACTCAATAATCTTTTTGTTTCCTTGGTAAGTACCTCGGTTTCACAGCCATATGTCACTACTGGTCTTATTTACTGTCTTATATATATATACTGCTCAAAAACGAATAGGGATATTGTTAGTTATGTTTGATTTATTTTCTCTACAATTTTTATTTCATTTTTATTATAAAATAAATTGAAAATTAATGCAAATAATATTGTATTTTACCTCAAGAAATTTTATAAAAGGTGTTTTAAAAAATAATAAAATTAAAAGGTTTTGTTATCTTGTTTTTATGATTGTGAATGTATGAATTTTGTAAAATTTAATAATTTGTATAATGTCTTCTATTACGCACTACCTCTCTGCATGTACTGGGCGTACTTTTAATAATTTTATCATTGATTTCACAAGGAATTTCATACCATAAACATGGTATTACTGATCTCAGTTGCTAAAGGTTAAGAAGTTGTAGATAATGGTCAAAAACCCTTCTCTGCAGTGATCCCAAATATGCTCAATGGGATTGAGATCTGGAGACAATACAGGAAGGGGCAGATGCGAAATGTCCAGATTTTCAAGACATTGATGAACAACTTTTCCCCTATGAGGTCGCGTATTGTCGTCAAGAAAATGGAAATCTCTGCCAATTATGGCCCTGGTTTGAGGAATGTACTCCTCCATAATTTCTTAAACATAACGAACTGTAATGAGATTACCTTCCCCAATATGGAGTAGAGTCCGCCCTCCTCAGTAGATGCTGGCCAATACCATCACACTCCCACCTGTAGACAGGAGACTTCATTGAAGACAGGAAAAACTGTTATTGGAAGACTATTCGGCGGCTATGATCTCTATAAATACAGAAACACGACTCGTCTGTAAAGAAAACAGCATTCCAATTTGTATCCTCATCTAGGCACTTGCAGCACCATAATCTGCAGAGTTGCCGGTGACGCACTATTGCTGTAGGTCATCGTAAAGGAGCATAAGATGTTAGATCAACTTCTCACAAACGATTATGAATAGTATGAGTTGATATGGGCCTTGGCAGAACGTTAGACTTCATATTCACATCACAAATAGCCCTCCTATAGGTACTTCCGGTTTCTCTGGATCGTACTAAAGCCCGGGACACCACAATCTGGGGGACGCCAACTTCTTTGGCAATATGCACTTGCCAGTGCATCTTCGTCTTTTTATCCACTTCATGGCAGCTGAGGATACTGCTAGCGATTTAGTAGTATGCTTGATTTGCCTTGGATATTCTATAAAAAATCTCAACATCTTTCTTACCAGAATTGGTAATTACGGTTGTTGACGCCAACATGAATAGTTTTATTGTTTATTTTCACCAAATCATAATATGGGGGCTCAATTTTATTTTGATTATGAATAACATATATTATGTATTTTATTTAAGTTTTTGTTTTCATATCATTATATGGAAAATATCTTTATTTATATGTAAGCCTTTTATTTATATATATAATTACATTAAATATTATATGTAGAAGCCCTTAAATATTTCGTACACCAAGATGTCTCAGTGACGATGCTTTCGGCCACTTCCGGGTCAGCCCGCCTCTCGTCGTATCGCTTAATACCAGAGGTAAAAAGAAAACTTTGGAAAATCAGTATGGCTGCTGGAAGCATTAAGTTAAGGACTGCCTCCATGAGATTCTTCGTCCCGTCACAGTTGTTCCTGGCAAACCCATTGGTTTCATCATCCCAGGCTGTGGCGGTGACTTCCCAGATGTGGGAACCTGGGGACATTATTCTCCTGCACCAGGACTCCCGTCAGCTGCAGCAGTGACAGTGAAGCAGAGTAATATGACCGGCCGGCTGGGGTGAATTTGTGTATTTTAATTTAGAAGAGTTTTAAGGTGAGTTTCACCCCTCTAAAAAAATTACTGACCCCACGGGTCTCAGGTGTTATCAGGAAATAAAAACAGTATTTTATCAATTAAACACCTCACAATCAGGCTGAACTCGATCTTATATACTGCTTCATACAATGCTCCTTCAGAGCACTTAATAGTGTAATGGCTAGCATCTTAGTTTTCAATAGTGAATTACCAGGTTGAATACTGGGTTCATCATTCTCTTTTTTTTGTGTATTAAATAGTATAATTTTAAATTTATATAAATTATGGTATAATATAATTTATTATCCTTGTGTAATATAATTTTAAAACAATTAAATTAACATTTGGATTACTTGCAGTTTCATTAAATAATAATAATTAATTATTTTAATAATAAAACAGTCATAGAACATTCTAAATTTAATTCATCGGTTTGAGGTTGTTTTCCTTTTGTTTAATGTTTAAAGTATTATTTTATTTCTCTCATTTATTATTATTTTGTATTAAGAGAAATATTATTAATTTATTTTTTCATTTATTAATTCGTAGCATGTTCATTTCATTTGTTATTATTTTCAATATACATAGATTTTCTGTTATTCCGCATTTCACTTTTTTATACATATTTATCCACAATGGATTTCATATTTTAACAATTTAAGATTGATTAATTAATAAGGCAATAAACAGTGCTTATGGATTAGGTAGAACAGATTTGGCGGTTCACATCTGAACGCCCGTTGCCTCCACAATGGTAGCTAAGCAGGTGTAATCCTTCACTACCTCAAGAATTTATCCGTTGCAAGCCAATTGGACGTCTTCCTGTTCTTCTCTCGCCATAACCATCACTTTATTCTTCGAGGCATTTATTCCCATACCTTTCCTCAGCAGCTGTTCTTCCTATTCTACCAGAGCTTGCTGTAGTTCCATCTTTGAATTGGCGATGAGCACAATGTCATCTGCATATAAAAAGTTCTGTACGAGGTCTGTTCTCATATTCCACTTTCCAATTGCAGTCCATGAATTTCTCCGTTGCAGTCCGACGCTTGCAGATTTTATGGATCTTGTTCATAAAGTTTATAAACAGGAGGGGGCTTAATCTATCTCCCTGTCTGACTCCTCTCGCCATTAATATCGCTGAATCTTATTATTTTTTACTTAAACGTTTATGAAATTCTTATAGTGGATATTTCCCTCACAACTTGTCATCATTATTATTCTACACTCTTCATCATTCTATGTTTATTTCATTTCTACTCAACATATTATGTCACCATCTTATAACAATTACCAATCCAATCTCCAATATATATATATATATTACTTAATATTCGGTTTCATTTCTTCATCATTTAATTATTTATTACTCTGTTTATTTAATTACTGTATTACTGTTATTTTGCCATTTTTAACTTTATTACTTTTCAATATAGTTTACCAATATTTTAGTACCTTACCATTATATACATACATATATATATATAAAAATGGGAGCCAGGATAGCCGTATGGGCTAAAGAGCTTGCAATAGGTAATCAAAGTTAAGCAACGTCGAGTGTGGTCAGTACTTAGATGTGTGACCACCCAATTTAGGTGGCCGTCTACCACGGAAAGACACGCTGCCCAAGATTTCTCCCCTCCCCCCTCTGGTATATGGGTTGGGCATAGGGCTAATAACCCTATCTTGTCAAAAACACCATATTAGGAAACCAAAAACCAGTCACAGAGAAGGCTGGTTCAGGGTATATAATAAGTAATATATATTGATATGTTTTTAAAAAACCAATATGAAGTTTAGGATGAAATTCCATTTCTGGCGATATCCAGAAAACCAACCTATAATAGTGGTTGATGAAAGTCCAATTAAATATTTTACAATTATCATGTCATTAAAAATAAAAAAAAATAATAACATATACCTGCTGGGCTGGTGTTGTGAAAAATGGTGTATGAACTATAACAGTAACAAATAAATGAGGTTCAAATATTAATCTTGTTCCTGGGACCACAAACTGAAAATAAAATAATAAAAATTAATTTAAGTTATTTTTTTTCAATAATACAATTAGAAGTAATAAAAAAATACTTATAACATTAAAATTAATAAAAGATAAATGGGAAAAAATATTTTAAAAATACATAAGTTACTAATAATGTAACTAATATATTTGAGTTTAGATTATTAGTGAATACAAAAATGTGGAAGGGTTTCACATTTTCAAATATATATATTTGGCTAATGGTGGTTCGATGAGGAGTGTCATGAACGTGTCAAAGCCATGAACACCAGGAAGAACGAAGCCTACAAAAGAATGGTACAGGGTTGACAAACAAGAAGATCTACTTAGGAGTATCGAGCTCTGCGACGTCAGGAGTCCACCTTCGAAAGAGAAAGAAAAGAAAAGAACTGCTGATAATTCTTCCAACAAGTCAATGAGGGGCGAAGACCATTCAAGCTCAGATCTATTTCCTGTAAAGCAGAGGATGGACCCCTAATCCCTGACAAGCAATGGATTTTGGATAGGTGGGCAGATCATTTTGAAGGTTTGCTGAATAGGGGTAATGCTGAAGAGGACTTCATATGGCCTACCATGGATGAAGCACAGCAAGCAGATCACTTGGATCCCCCAGATGAAGAGGAAATTCAAGATGCTCTGATCAAACTTAAGAACAATAAAGCCCCCGGTATTGGCAATATACCAGCAGAACTGTTGAAGCATGGCGGACACGAACTGGTGCAATTTCTTCGAGACCTATAGCACGATATCTGGACTGAGGAGAGGCTACCTGTGAAATGGAAGAAGACAGTGATTTGCCTGATAAACAAGAAAGGAGATAAGCTGTCTTGTAATAATTACAGGGGAATATCATTACTCCTTTGTGCTTACAAGATTTTGTCCATTATCTTGTTCAACCGGTTGCTTCCATATGCTGAAAGGGAGATGGGAAGATACCAAAGTGGTTTCCAAAGAGGTAGGTCAACAAATGACCAAATTTTCACACTCCGAATGCTGTTGGAGAAGACCCGAGAATACAAAATAACAACACACCACATATTTGTTGATTTCCAGCAAGCATATGACTCGGTCAACAGAGCAGAGGTATACAGAGCAATGCTCGCAATGAATCTTCCTCCAAAGTTAGTGCGCCTGACAAGAATGACCATGGAAGACAACATATCTTTCGTCCGGGTTGGTGGTGAGCTCTCAAGAGGCTTCTCCACTGGAACAGGAGTTCGGCAAAGAGACGGATTGCCATGTCTGGTCTTTAATCTCACACTGGAAATGGTGGTTAGAGACTCTGGGATTCAGACAACAGGTACACTCATCAACTCCAAAGTACAGCTCCTTGGATTTGCTGATGATATTGACATAGCTGGCAGGTCACTAGCAGCAGTCAAAGAAGCATTCATAACATTGAAAAATACTGCTGAAAGAATGGGACTGATTGTCAACTACAATAAAACAAAATATATGTATGCAAACCCTCAACCGATGAATGTTGAGAACCATATCCAAATTGATGGGCAGAGTGTGGAGAGAGTTGAGGAATTCGTATACCTAGGGTCCGTGGTCAACCAACAAAATGATATAGGAGCAGAAGTGGAGAAGCGGATTATGGCGGCTAATCGCTGCTATTTTGCTTGGCTAAAGCATATGAGTGGTGGTCTCCTCTTCAAGTCCGCGAAAGTCAGGCTGTATAAGACTCTCATCTGGCCAGTTCTCACATATGCTTCAGAAAACTAGACCCTTACCCAAGCACACGAATTCTCTCTCCTGAGATTCGAAAGAAGAGTCCTAAAGAGGATATACGACCCAGTCATAGTTTATGTAGAGTGGAAACGCCATTCAAACAATAAACTGAGGCTGCTATATAGGGAATTGGATGTAGTCCAGTTTATAAAGCTAATGAGACTTAGGTGGGCTGGACATGTGATTAGAATGGAGCAAGACGAAATCCCAGCCAAAATCCTAAGGGAGCGAATCTTTGGTGTGAGAAGAGCAGGACGGCCATGACTTCGGTGGGAGGACTGCGTGGCTTTAGATGCCGGACCATATTGGATATCCACAGTTGGAAGGCAGCAGCACTTGAAAGAAACCACTGGCGGTCGATACTAGAGCAGGCCAAGACTCGACTTGAAGGGTAGTACTGCCGGATAAGTAAGTAAGTATATTTGGCTATTTGTGATTAATAAAACACAAATTAAAAAAATTCTTAGTAAATTATGTATGTACATATTGAAAATGCATATGCACTTAATAGGTATATTTTCCTTCCAAAAATGATAAGAACAAAAGTCCATTGAAACAATTAAATTTTTTGTCTGTTCAGTATTAACAAAACTGACATTTTCCATTGGTAACGACAAAACTAATTTAAGATGAAATATAAGAATATGAATGAGCTTTATGAATTATAGGAAAATAATGCCTATATATGGTTAAAATTTACTGACGCCTACATCTAATTCTGCGATAACAAATAGTTCAAACAGCTGTGGAATATGACCCCTTACCAGTGTCGGCCTTAGGGCTGGGCAACCCAGCCAGTTGCCCAGGGGCGCTGACTTGTTAAGAATAAATACAAAATTGCAAAGTGTATGAGAATTACTAATTTGATCCTACTAATAAAGCAACTAAATTAAATACATATTGAACGTAAAATTCCAATATTACTTAATTAAAAATAAATTTTATTTTCCTTTGGAGGGGAAGGAGATGAAATATTGAATCTTTACATTCTGAAACATGTTCGACATAAAATAAAGCTAATTCTAAGAGTTTGTTCCCAAGTTATAAACCACTTCAGAAAGCAGTGGACAGTCAATTAAACTTTTGTGTAGAGTAATACAATTTGGTGTTTTTAGAAACATTTTTTCCTATTATTGATTAACATGTTTATTTAGGGAAATAGTTTTCATATTTTTATGCATATTTAGACTATGAGTTACCCAAGAAACATGCTCAGTTTTATGAAATGGAACTTTTAACATCAGAGCTGTTTCAATCAAGCTGTGTTGTAGCACCAATAATGATGATGATGTTTGATGTTTCAATCAAGTAGGGATCATGGTTAAAACTACATTACTTATAAAAAATCAAACTTTCACTTGAAATGTTAAATTTGAAAAAAAAAATAAAAAATTAAAGCACTATCACTGATGAAGCGATATCAGAGAGACCACTGGACAGAGGGGCAGAAGAGAAGTGTACACAGCTCATGATGAAATTATAAATAGTTTTCTTGCAGCAGGAGGTTTTCATGCTGATATGAGTAACATTCCACTGCTACAAACACCCTTATTATCTAACAGGTAGGGTTGAATAACAAAACAGATGTAAATAAGGTAAAAACAAACAAAAATCAATAAAAAAATATTCATTAAGTGGGACAATGTTTCGGGAACAGCACTTTTTCAAAATTTCGTAGGATAGATATGCATGGATGAAGAATGCTGAGCATCAGTGGCTTAGTCTACCATAATGGCAAAAAAAAAAAAAAAAGCTATCCCATATTTATGGTCTGATTTTATCAATAAAATTTTTAAAACAAGTAAATGATTTTTCTATAAAATACTTTTTTCTGGAATAATATCTAGTTTGTATATTAGTGTAAGATATCATGAGAAAAAAATTAACTTAAAGGTATGGTTGTAAAATTAGTTGATGTACAGGCTTTATTTTTTGTTGATTAATTGTTTTTGTAATCGTAATTCTAATGAGAAAAAAAATCATAAACATATATTATTTAACTTTTCGCACTTAATATGTCTTAAGGTCAGTTTAATAATAACAGAATTAATTTTTTATTGTTATTTATAGTACGTTTTGGGGAATCTCTGTCCACCTGTTCAGCAATATATTATTCTGCTGAAAAATTGGGTAAGTCGCAATAATTTAATATGTTTAATAAGGTACAATGGCTGGTATCCAACTGATATTATTTATTTATGATAGTATTATTTATGGTGGGCAGTGTTGTATCACAGGGAGCATCAACTTAAGACTTTCTTAAATCACATAACAATTTTTTTTTTTTTAATCCCGCTCCGTTAACTCACTAAGACACAAAGAGGATTCGCCTAAGGCCTGACATCTGCCGCTAACCGTGGATACTAAACATTTGCACTGTTTATGCCCGATTCAAATACCCAATTTTTCCGCCCCCTCTTGCTAATTAACGAATTTGCACTCCCTGTATCGACCAAAAATTTCATCCCGGATTACTCTAATTTCGCCAATGGCAACCTAGTTCGATGTTTACATCTAACACTATTATTAATTATAAAATTACTCCCTTGGTCGCCCCGCCTATTACTGTACGCTCAATCAGTACGTGGGTGTTCTATTACTACTTTCGCCCTGGAAGGATCCTCCCTCCAAGGATTCCTTCCACTTACCTCGGTTTTTCTCATACCCTGGCCACTTCGCTTGGAACAGAAACTCTCCTCCTCTGACAATTCACCGCTGGTATAGGACCTGCTGCTCTTCCTACCAGTCCTTCGGTTGCTTTAGTCCTCGTTATTAACCTCGATTGGCTCCCGTTGTGGTGTCCTCCTGTTCGAGCGAGAGTTTCGCTTTGGACAATCCCTGGCTAGATGCCCTCGCATGCCCCATTCGAAACATCTCGTAAGGTTGCATCGGGCTGCTATATAACCAGTCTGGTTGCATTCATAACACGTTATTCTGGTTTACACATTCTCTCATCGGGGAACCAACTCGGCTGTCTATTGAATTTTCTGTTTTTATTGACCTGCCTGGGTGGACTTCTGTAAATCCAATCTGTGTTCTATTTTTCGAAGCGCGTTTCTTTCCGTTCCTTAGAATCTATGAGATCATGCGCACACTCAATAAAATCTCGATCTCTTGACAGTGAACAGGGGCGATCCACATAGTGATTTAGTTGTACCTTCAAAATTCCTTTCAAGAATTCTAGTTTCTGTGTTCCCTCCACTTGGCCGTAGGTTTTTACCATTTTATCTGTCAATTTGTTGTATTGAATTAGGAGCTTTTCTGCGAAAACACCTTCTGATTGACCCTGATTCCGTCGCTCCTTAAATAGATAAAACACATCTTTTTCTGGGGTCCATCTTCCTCCACCGTATAGTTTCTTTAATCTCAGTTTCAAAGAGTCCCAGGAACATGTTAGATCGCCTTGGATGGCGTTTAACACTCGTCTCGAGATACGCCTAACTAACGATGCCTCGAGTAATTTCACATCAGACTATATTAATGTGCCAGCTTCATGCCGGGATACTATGAAGGCTTTAATTTGGTTTGCTCCCTTAATAAAATGTTCAAGGTCCCCTACTATTCCAGTAAATGGTTCCAACTGATCAATTACGTCATGACTGAATGTAGAATTTTGCATTCTAATCTTCAGCAATTATAAAATTGCGTCGTCTCTGCCGTGATAGATAATTGCGATTCTAATTTCGCTAGTTCCAAAACCGCCTGAGCCAACTGATGCTCTAATTTCTTAATCTGCTCAGCTTCTCCCATATTTATGCACTTTCTCTAATAACTCATCGTTCTTTGCTGAAATTTATGTTATGTTTATTCAGACCTGTTTATATTTCATTTACACATTTATTAATAATAAAAACCATATTCAAAGTGGAAGAGGACGATATATCGATAAATATAGGATATCCGTATCTACTGAAAATCTGGGGAGGGGATGAAAAAAAAAAGATATATCGGCATATCAGCGTTTGATATCGACCAAACGGCCAATATTAATATTGATATCGATCGATCTGTCGATTTAGCCTAAATTGGGAGGGAAATTAAAGATTGTAAAACAGAAGATCAGATAGGTATCAAATTCTATCAACTGCTTTAAAAGAATATTTCCAATCTCAGATCTGCAAACGTATTGTTCTTGATTTGCCTATATTTCAAAAACTGTTTGTTTAATTTGACCCAAAGTTGGAAGAAATTGGGAGAATAGTGTAAAAATAGTCTAGTATCAATTTAATAAAATTTTATTTAACAATTTTAAGTTAACTAATTGTTAAGAATATAATGGTTGTGAATTATGGTAGGCAGTGGACATATGAAAAGGGAAGCTAAATTTAGGTATATTAAAGTTTATACAGGTTTAACTTCACTACCTTGTTTTAATAAGGTTGCATAGAACTAACATTTTTGTCTAGAATGATATTATTGGTGCTTCTGACTCTACTTTAAGATTTAATGTTATTTTTTTATTTTAAAAAGTTGTAACTTCACTTATACCTTTGTCACTTTCATTTTTACTCATTTTGTCTGCGACAAGGTTTTGATTGCAATTTGAAATATTTTATATAAAATTAGAGATAAAATATTTTTTAATTAAACCATCTTCAAAATTTAAGAAACTACCATGTAAAGAAATGGGTACAAGTTTGATACATTTTATTAATATAGGAAAAATTGTTATCACATTAAATTCATTGGTCTTAAAATTGAGGTTAGACCATTTAGAACCTTGTCAAACCAAACTGTGGTTCGACCATGATTAGTTGACAGCCTGAGGGTGAACTCATGTGGCAATAATTGTAAGATGAAACTCATATTTTTTTCTGATATTACTTACAAAATATTCACAAACATAGATATGTATTAAAATATGGTATTGTAACCTTCTAATTTATGGATATGTTAGTAAATATTTTGTAAGTAATGTTGAAGGATTATGGAAAAAAACAAATTCTCAAAGCAAGTTTTGAAACAACATACTGTTGTTAATTCAATTTAAAGAAATTTTCAGAGATTATGATAGCTTATACCTAAACGTAAAAGAAGTTAACTTAAATGTATATTATTTTCAAATAAAATTATCATTTTTATAATTAATTTATTAAAATTGTCTACTGACCCGTTTGACTATTCCTTCAATGCTATTTTTCACAGCAGATATAATTTCATCTAACATAACTTGTCCATGTTGGATATCCTAAAATTAGCATAAAGAAATTAGTTAAATGTCAATTTGATAGCAATATAAAAATGTCAAATAAAAAATAAAGTACATTCAACTGTAACATAATGGTTAAGAAAATGTATACAAAACTCAATAATCATGTGACAGTTTAACTAAATAAACATTTACAGTTATAAAATTGGAATTAAATTATTTGATAGATAATAAATAGAGTTTTTTAATTGATAATGAAACTTTTGGCAACAAAACTAAGCTCTACTGGGAACAGACTAGGAAACAAACTCATTCCAAGTTGTTCCTAGGACACTGTCACAAGAGAAGTGTATCACTTCTCCTATTGGACAGGAGCACCATTAGGTGTGTGACAGGACTGTATACTGGTCACTGTCGGCTCAATAAGCACCTCTTTAACTTGGGCTAAATCATGAGACTCCTTCCTAGAGACTGTTTGTTTTGGAAGTTGAAACCACTTATCACATTATATGCAGGTCCATCATCCACCCTTTGAATAGGTCTGTGTGGTTTATGGTGGTTTCTCAGTGGATCTGGTTGACTGACTGAAGAGATTTATGAATAGTTTTGTGAGATTTGTCAGTGGAACCCCAAGACGTTCCCATGTCTCCCACCTCTATGCTGAATTAGAGTGGCTCTTTCATTCCTTCTGTCGACAATATTTATTTATTTTTAATTGCTGCTGATCTATTAGAGGAATTTATTTAATATTTATTTTTTCCCTTCCTATTTTTTTTTTTATTTCTTTATTATTTTTCTTGCTGTGCAACGATTATTTTGTTCCATTTCTTATTAGTATTGAATGTATTAAGTTGGCAAACCAATTTTGAAATTTTGACAGATGCGTTCGGTTAAGGCATTATCCCCATAAACACGGCAAAATTTTTTATGAGCTTCTGCAGTACGCTTATCATTTTTAAAAAAATACAACAAAATGTGCTGATAATCAATGATATTTTCTTCCATGTTCACAGTGCAATAGCAAACGCAATACTAAGCTATTTTCAAGAAGAGTTAACAGATATAGTTGTTGACATATTACAAACAGGATAAACAATCAACTTTAGGGATTAAATCATCAGATAAGAATGGTATCTTAGTAACATAAAAATAAACAGAAAACCCGAAAGGACTTATTTGCAAGCCCAATAGTTCTAAGTATTTTTTGTAAATAGTTTCGTTTCATTGTTAAGTTTTGTATATATTGTTAGTTTACTTAATTTTTTTTATTTACTTGTTTATTTAATGTAACAGTTCTTCTGGTCAGAAGTAGTTTTTCTATTTCTATATGTATATATATATATATTTACAATCCTTGACAAAAAGTAAAGGAAACTAAATAAATAAGCATAATTATAAAAATCAATAATAAATAACAAATTAGTTGATACATTTTTTTACAGGATTTATTGTATTTGTAACAGTCAAGGAAAAATTATTTCCTCAATCAAACATGTTACATGCTTCCCTTAACCAACACCTTTTAGAAAACATCTTCATCAAAGCCTGACAACCTAGAATTTCATTCTCCCCATCAGAATTGGAATTGGAATTTCATAATGGATCAGAATTGGTATTGTGAGCCGCTAATAGCTCAAATTGAAACCTAATGATACCACACTGTTTTAACTTTTCAGGACTTCAGAAATAGGTTTTCTGTCATTAACTCATGGCAACATAATTTAAAGTTGATAAACTGAATTGACACCACATTTAACACAAATTTAATAGAACACTCAACTAATAAGAAATGGGCTATTTCAAAACTTCGGTCACATTTGCACATCAATTTTTATAAAATATTTTTTTGAGAAACAGTGTGTTTTTTCATTTCTTAATAATCTTTGTAGTGTCTTAGCAAATTACTAATGTGAGCATACATAATAATGAACATAACTATAGATACATCATTTTGAAAAAAAAAAAAAATCAATTTTCTAGAGAATGAGGTACATGTCCAAGAAATGAGAAATGATCAAGTTTATATTTTTAAAAACGTTATTTATTTATAAATAGATAAATATTAAATGAACTGAAAATTAGAACATCTGGAAAATAATTCAACTAATAAATGTAGAATTACAGGAATTTAGCATCACATTTTTATTTGTCAAATATTAATGTCTCTGTCAAAATAGTTAACTATTTTTCTTTTATCAGGATAATACAAAGTAAAACAACTTTATGATGTAGCTTACTGCACATTTATCATAATTATTTCTACTCTTAGAATATGAACTCTGTTAACACTGGCTCATAATAATTTAATTTTATATATAGCGGGTAAATAGCTCTATTGCTTAGTTCAGCAACATTTGATTAGATTACATTTATTTTACTTTTCTTGAGAGTGTTTATTTATTTTTAGACAATATTAAATAGCAGTTTAATTATGTAATATTGGTTGTTTGCAATTTTCTATTAATTAATGAAGAATGACTGGCATTACCATGTTACAAACCATTGTTATCTTCATCTAAAAACGCAGGTTAGCCATCATGTTCTCTCTCAATAGCCCTATAATTAGAGCTCCCGCATTAGATAGTTAACAATGTATGGCTTACTATGTTAGTATATCAGCATTGTGACAGTGCAAGGGAGTGAAAAAACAGGATTTCAAAAACTATTTTCTGTATCATATAATTACAATTTTCATAAAACAATGAATGACAAGTATGCTTCCAAAAGGGTAGATAATGAGAATAATTATATTATTGATTTCAGTTGTGATTTGCTCTATTATTGTCCAGTGACATAGATGTGACTAAAATTTTTAAATTACCCAAATATTTAAACTACTAAATCATACATATACATACATAACTAAATCATTTAGCTCTCCAGATTCATAAACTTCAGTAACATGGAACAAATGTACCTGGGAACGTGTTTGGAAGCTAAGAGTGTACTCAGAACATGGTGCTTGAAGCACCAATCTATTCCAAAACTGTGCATTAGTAAATATAGAAAGAAAATATTACAATCCTGTGCATGTGTCATTTAAAAAATATATTTTTTGGATTTAATTAATAATCTGACATTATTTAATAATTATAGGTATATACAGTTGGATATGGATAATGCATTTAGATGTATACAGTTGAGCATGGAAAATGAAATAAGGAGAAAACGGATTTTCAACTTAAGAGCCTTTCCAGAATAACTATCAAATAGAATGAGAACAGACAATTATCAAATATGAAGTAATGCCTAATAAATTTAAAATATTTGGTCGAAACCATTAAATGTGTTTGGGTGGAAACTTATCAAAACCTGCATTGCATGAAAAAAAAAATGGTAAAAGAAGAACAAGAAAGGAGAGAGAAATCTGAAGATTAATATTAAAATACCGTAAAATAACATCAGTTAACAATGAGCATATGAAAAACCAATAAGGACTTTAAAAACACAAAGTTCAGGATTCATAAAAATTAGGGTAAATGTGTGTAACCAAAAACATAGATAATTATTTAAATATAATTTGACAAAGGAGTAATATGAAAAATTTATTTAATCCTGTAAAAGAAATTCATGGAATTTTTAAAGTAAGATCTCTCTCAAGCAGAACTATGAAGACTTTGGATACCAGGCAACGTACATATTTAAGTAGCCTTTCTGTAGGATATGGATATCTGTTACAAATCATTTCAACATCCCTTGCTAATGAGGAATTAACATCTACAATGCTAGAATGGTAGTACACCAGGGTCATTCCACCTATAAATCTCCGCCTGTTATCTGGTACACAAAAACGATGGAAAGAATAGTACAAATGAGACTTGAGAAAGTTCATAGGTCGGCATGTCTAGGGGCGACAGGAGTAATAAGAACATGCTCCAGCCACTGAGGAATTGCTCAACATAACTCCCTTGCACATTAGGATACAAAAAAAAAGGTTCTAACAAGTGCATTCAGACTACAGAGTACCTGGAACTATAAAACAGGAAACTAACGAGGACTTTTAAAAATTCTTAATGAGCTTAAGAGAAGCATTTGCAGATGATGTAATAATTACAGGAATCACATCAAACACACTCTTAGGAGCCTTCGAGGAGTGTGAAGAATGGGAAAGAAAAGCAAGACTTTTCATAAATAAATAAAATACTATATAAAGACATATTAGGAACGAGAGAGATGAAAGGCGATAGATATATTATATATTACACTACAACAATTGTTACCCTCTATTTACTTTAGTTTAGGATCTTGTTACTTAGCTTACTCTGTTCATATTTTAATGTACTTACTGCTTATAATTTCAATAAGCTTATTCACATTGTTTATAAATTTTGTCTAAATATTATGTAACTGCCACAATTCTCTATCTTTTTGTATCTTCTAGCCCTGAAGAAGACCCGCAAAGTCAGGTCGAAATGTTGGCTTTTAATAAAATAGTTTTGCCACTATTTAGCCTATTTATGACCGCCATCCCGGACCATCTCCTTCCTTTATAATGCAACGGTCAACTATTAAATATTCAATATAAGAGAAAAATAAAACTATGTTAAATAGGTTGTTTTAATCTAATTTTATACTGCACATTTTGGGTTTTATTACATAATTTTAATTTTTTTTTGCACAAAATTTCATGTTTAATGATCAAAGATGAAAAACAATAAAATTTTAATGAGTTGACAAGTTCCCTTAACGAAGAAAACAAATCCTATCTTACTTTAACTCATAAAGAATATATTTTCTGCACCTTTTTGAGATATTTTTCCCAGTCTTTCCTTGCTATTCTATCTCAAAGATGAATTTTCCTTAATTTTAAACTAGTTTAAACCGAGAATTCAAAATAAAAAAACATATTTCAAAATACCCTGATTCTCTTTCTAAAAAAACATTTACAATTTAGAGGGTGGATAGAAAACCATCCACAGTTAAAATGTGATAATGAAATAACGGCTTGCAAAAAAAAAAAAAAAAAAAAAAATTGAATTGAAGCTCACTGTGCTACAAGTAAGAATAGCCACCAAAGTAATTTTAACATAAATAATATG